AGCTTGAATACACCAGTGGAAAGGTGTTCACTTTGGACAAGGATCTAGCATGGATGGACAAGAACAGTAAAAAGGACACAGGTGGTGTGTTCAAGGGACTGTGACTAGCTCTTTAGAATTCTATCACTTCGTATTTTGGGTCCCTTTCACATACCTCACTCAGGAAATGACTCTGTTGTCCTCCATAAGCCCAGCTAAGCCCTGAAGCAGATGGCCTTCAGTGAGTTCAACAGAATGAAATGAACTCCTACTATGTGTAAATCATTGTCACGTCCTGCAGAGTATGTAGAAAAGTGTGAAATATAGTCCCTGCCCTCAAGGGCAGGATTTTCCTTTTGTCAAATGGCCAGTGACAGATTCAGGATGACTCTGCAGCAGTGAGGTCCTCTGTCTGATAAATGGTGGCAGGCTCTGGGCAGCACGGACAAGTCTAAGGAAAACCGGATTAGCCATCTATCAAGACGCTCCATTTGTGGGTGGTCCAAAGGTATTCTGGTAACTCTGCTGTTTTTTTTCTCAGAATTAGTTACCAGGCTCAGTCTTGTGTCTTCCATATTCCTCTCAGCGTATTCCTTCTCAAGCACAGGAGCCTGTCCACAGCCGAACGCCCGTTCAGAATCAGAAGCCAAAGTAATTGCAGAGATACCTATAACTCATCCATGGCTGGGCCACTGAAGAGCACCCCAATCAATGAGCAGTCTCAGACTCTGCCATCAATCCTGGTAAGGAAGAGGCATCAGAACAAGAACTAGAGAACCAACGTAAGACAACAGCTGTGGGTAACTTCTAAATCGGTCAACCTTGGACAAAGGAAGGCTGAAAATCTTTACCTGGCCTGAGAGAAACAAAGCAAGCTCCTCCTGGCCCTGGAAACACCAGTTAGGGCTGAGTGGGAGAAAGCATAGGTGAGCGTCATCTGAAACAAACTGAAATACCAATTTATCTTGGGCATCCTCACAGTCTGGTGAAGTAGCTACTGCCATGATGGAGCGGAGAAGTTTCAGGAACTTGCCAAGTTGCGTGGGTAGAGCTGCTACTTCTAGGACAGAATTGGCAGATGCCTGTCAATCACACCTCAAAAAGTGAGTCACGGGGATACAAAGCAGAGAACCAGCTCCTTGGTCAATCAGAGGGCATCACATGGAAGATTCTGGGTGGGCAGGACTCACTCTGGCATAGTTGACCTCTTGCTTCCTCAGATGACTGAAGGCCAAATACATGGTGAGAAGGGGATCTCTGGTGCCCTGAGGTTCTGGGCGCTGAATGCTTCACTGGAAAAATTCTTTTCAAGGCAAAAACAGACTACAAGATGTTTGGAAGTATTTTGAAAAATGAGTTCACATTCAGCCATAAAAAAAAGAATGAAATCTTGCCATTTGCAACAACATGGATGGATCTAGAGAGTATTATAAATGTCAGTCAGAGAAAGACAAATGCCTTATGATCTCACTCATATGTAAATTTAAGAAACAAAACAAATGAGCGAAGGAAAAAAGAGACAAACCAAGAAACAGACACTTAACTGGAGAGAACAATCTGATGGTCACCAGAGGGGAGGTAGGGGATGGGTGAAACAGGTGATGGGGATTAAGGAGTGCACGTGTCGTGATGAGCACCAGGTGATGTATATAATTGTTGAATCGCTATATTGTACACCTGAAACGAATATAACACTATGTTAGCTATACTGGAATTAAAATGAAAAACTTAAAAAAGAATGAATTCACATGTCCTAACTCTGTCACAGAAGTGTACAGAAGACAGCTGAAACATGCTTGTTGCAGGCTAACCCTTAAAGGAAGGGACTGTACCTCCCGGATCAGAGCAGATTCCTCGAAACTACCAAGTAGCCCCCCAAAAAGCAAAGAAATAGCAAACAATCTTAAGACTCTTTATTTAAAAGAAAGATTTCTGAGCCAGGCTCCTGTAACCAAGCAGAAAGATGCTACTGAAACTTAAGTTTGACTGAAGGCATTCGGTCTCAGATGTTAACAAAATGTTTGTTATGGTTGTGTTTTAACTAAGCAGTCTGTACCTCCATGTTTAATTCAGAAAATTCCATTTCATGAAACTTTAGGCTCTGAAGTGAAGAAGTGAGCACAACTCTCACACATTAATACTCCCAAGGCAGAGATAACGTACGGCAAGGTGTCCCGAAGGACAATACCATGTAAGGAATCAGGTTGTTGAGAACGTGGATGACTGGTCCGCATATCACTTTTTAAAAGAACTGAGCACTAACTTTGCAAGGTTGCTAAAGCTATCAGAAGCAGCATCTGGATCTAAGAGAATATGGCAAAGCTATCTGAATGAACACCAATTTTTATCTATTCTAAATGTCAAGACATATTTTTGAATGTTAATTTATAGATATTTGTATACCCCAAAAAAGTATCTGGTGAGCAGAGTTGGCCAGGAGAGAACAGATTAGTTAACAGGCAGATGGTGGAGTCAGTCTGTGTATAACTTAATAAAGTATCTTGCTCCCTCCCCGGTGTACAGACCTTCCTAGGACAGATGTGTGGCCAAGCTATTTCAAGAACGTTTCAAACTCCCCAAGTCATACTGTCTCAAGAGAACTCTGGAGATACAGCCCCTGTCTTCTGGTTCTCGCCCAAGAAAGGCTTTTAAGTATTTTCAGGGTCTCTCCTTTATCTATTTTTAAACCAATTCAGGGCATTTTTGAGCATTCATTGGTTTTCCCAAGATACTGCAACAGCCATATCCCCAGGGTTGCAACAGTTCTCCAGAAAGCATCATTTATTATAGCACCGGGTTGGACTAGAGAGTCAAGAACTTTGGACTGTATTTCCAACTCTTTCTCTGACCCACTGAGTATTGTTTCTTCCTTTGCCCATTTTTTTTTTCATTCAAAAAACATTTACTCCTTACCTACTATGTGCCAGGTTCAATTCTAGGTGCTGTGTCTCCAGGACCAATGAGAAATCAAGTTCCTCTCACAAAGCAAACATTCTAACGAGGGGAACAAACAATTTCAGATAGACTGAGTGCTAGGAAGAAAATAAGAGTAAAAGGATTCAGTGATGGGGGCAGGATAGAGAGGAGCGGAAGAGCCCTACTTTAGCCAGGAAAGAGCTCCAGGAGGGTGACAGCTCGGTGGAGATCTGAGTGATAAGCAAAAGATCTGAGGGAAAAGTTCTCCAGGCGAAGGGAACAAACACAAAGGTTCTGAGGTGGTAGAGTCAAAGGAACCGAAGGAAGGGCTGGGAAGCCAAAAATGAAAGCAAGGGAGAGAAGGATAGACAAGTAGGAGAGGTGGTAGGGGCTGGAGAACCGAGGGCACTGCCTGTTGCAGGAGCTACACCATCTCAAGTCCGGGGCGGACTTCATGAGGACCAAGTAGCTGCAGGACATTGCACAGAGAATGATGACGTCTGCTTTAGAAAGGGGCCTCAGGGACTAGGGTGAAGACACAAAGCCCATCTTCAGGTCATCCTGGGGCCAAACATTACTCAGCTGACCAATCCTTATGGCCTCCTGTAGCCCAGTCCCCCGGTACTGGAACGCCCTGGCACTATCCGGGACTTACTCTACTTGGTCTGTTCCAGAGATGGGACTCATGCCCCTCTGACAGCTACACTGAAGTTCTTCCAAAATCCGATTCCTTGTGACTTTTACTCATCTGCCTCCATATATCCTTCTGGGCTCTACCAATAGCTAATAACACTCCAAGAATTCCCTTCTCAGGCAAGTCAGACCAGTTTCTTTCAGTTACTCATCTGACTTTCTAAACTTTTTAACTTTTTATTATGGAAAATTTCAAATGTCCGCTGAAGCAGAGAGAACAATATAATACATCTGCACTTACCTACGACCGGATTCAACAACAATCAACTCATGACCGATTGTGTTTCCACCTCTCTTTTTGATTTCCTTCACCAACTTGGCCATTACATTTGTCTCATAGGTGTGGTATGGCCAACCCGGAGTATTAGCAGCTGACTCTCCGGAGACATCTCATTTCTACTACTACAGCTAACCGTCCTATTACATGTGTGGCAGCCATGCTGTTGCTTCATTTTTTTTTTTTTTTAATTTTGTTTATTTATTTGAGAGAGAGAGAATGAGAGATAGAGAGCACGAGAGGGAAGAGGGTCAGAGGGAGAAGCAGACTCCCCACTGAGCGGGGAGCCCGATGCGGGACTCGATCCCGGGACTCCAGGATCATGACCTGAGCCGAAGGCAGTCGCTTAACCAACTGAGCCACCCAGGCGCCCCATGCTGTTGCTTCATAATGTGAATTCAATCAACTCAAACTCTCCAACCAGAACTCATGCAGTAGGGCTTTTGAACCCCAGTGAAGGAATTTATGTTTGCTCCCAGTGATTTTCATCTTATCAGATTCAGCCCATTCCTTCGGGCTATCGTGATCTTTTTTGGATCTTGACTCTCTAATATTTATTCACCATCCCTCCCAGCTTTTGTGATACCTCTAAAGTTTTGGGAAATAAAGAGTCATCTCTATCCTCTTTGAGTTTAAAAGAAGATTATGAATTAGAATGAATGAATTAGAAAAAGAGTAGAGCCAAAATGGATCAGAGAAAACTTTGATTCAATTCCTTACTCTACAGATGAGAAAACTAAGGCTCAGAGAGTCTGTGGCTGGTTCAAGGCCACCCATTAGGTAAGACAGGACAAGCTAGAGCCTCATGCTCACCGCTCCCTCGACCAACTCCTACCTCTGTTAAGTCCTGAGGAAAGAAAAGGTGGGTCATCACCAGCCAGGCTAGTGACAGTGGGCACTGCAAACTGATTTCTAGTCAACTGCCCATAATAACCTACTTATCTGACAAATAATTATCAAGTGTTGCTCTCTGCCAGGCCCCACTGCTCTCAATGACTTTCCCAGTCTCTCCCACTCTCAGAGATTAGGTTGGAAATCATTTTTCTCCGTTCTTACTTAATTCCTGCATTATGTAGAACTATGTAACTGAATTAGAGTTAGGAATGTCAGTGTTCATAAATAATAAAGGATTCACATCTATTAGAAATGAGAAATAGTTTGTTATTCAAAAAGCCAAACAAGAGCTCATTTAGAGGAGACACTTAACAAAATATACATCTTAAAAATTCAGTCCTCAAGAATCCTTTTTACAACTGTTTCCATTTGAGAAACAAAGGATTAAATGGGCAATAATTACAGATACAATTCACACAATAACTTGGATAATACACAATAAGCATCATGACGTTTTTCTGAGATTTCTCTCTGTGGTTCACTAATCACGCACTGGGGAGGGCCCAAAGTTCAAACGTGCACAGCCCAGGGGGCCTCCCCACAAAGTGGCAGTGCCCTGGGGAGGAAGGGGGGTGTCCCTCCCTCAGAGAATAACAGTAGGGGGTGGAGGGAGACCTGGGAGCTTGACCAAGAATCCAGCTTCTTATCCAGTCTGCTGCCACCATCAGCTGTCAAACCATTTGCTCCTCTTTGCAAGAGGTACTCCTTTAGAAGGTCCCAGTAATTTCTGCTTATATTGTTCGACCAGCTGATTGAAGCGGATTTCGGTCTTATTTCCCTTAGCTTTCTTCCCAGGGGCCTATAAATGAAAGGTAAGGAAAAACAAGATCAATTTCAAGCACTGAATGTCACCTTACCTTTATGCCCCAAGAGAGAATATAAGAAATCTTGTCAGCCACAAGAGGTGGACATTCAGAGAGTGACCCTTAGAAAAACCCAAAATGAACCATTCATTGGTAAGAAACCAGACCAGGAATGCCTAAGAGAAGGGCCCCACTAAAACACTGTGCAGGTGCTTCAGAGCTCTCACTCTCAAACGCTTCTGCAAGAACCTTCTCGCAGATGAGTGAGTCCAGAGTTTGCACCTTCTTGCTGGCCCTTTCCCTCAACGAGAATCCTGCCTTTGGGATTTCAGAGATAGAGCTCTTAAGACAGTACGGTATGGGTCAGACTTCCCAGAGGCACAGATTCCTTGAGTAGGAGAAGCTAATGCTTCTTTTACCCTTGAAACTTAAAAGAAAGGGACAAGGGAAGGGGAAAGAAATCTTGACCTCAAATGTTCAAGAATGTAGAACCACAATTTTCTACTAAAAGGAACTAGGGCTGCTTGGGAAAATGGCTAATGCCAGGACCAGGGAAGAAATATGTAAGATGAGCTGGGACATCTGGTTGTACCAGAAAGCAAGGACACCACCAAAACAGGGGCATATCAGAAGAACTCAGGAGCCAACCTGAAGGGCCTTCTGCTGGCCTAAATGGGACAAGAATAATAACTGCATTTGATTGCAACACATCAGGTATATAAAAACCCAGGAATCTGGGGTGCCTGGGTGGCTCAGTCGTTAAGCGTCTGCCTTCAGCTCAGGTTATGATCCCAGGGTCTTGGGATGGAGCCCCACATCGGGCTCCCTGCTCGGCAGGAAGTCTGCTTCTCCCTCTCCCACTCCCCCTGCTTGTTTTCCTGCTCTCGCTGTCTCTCTCTCTGTCAAGTAAATAAATAAAATCTTAAACAAACAAACAAACAAAAAACTCAGGAATTTGTCATACTAAAAAGATCTTATTGGTCACCATGGGAGGTTGATAGGGCACCAACTTGTTACTCTGAAACTGATAAAGAGTAATTAAATCAAGCATTTATCCTGCTTTTCCTATATATACGGTATTTCATGGTAACCATATAGTTGACAAGGGAAGATTTTTTTTCTCTAGAATTCTACCAAAACAATGCAAAAGAACTGAAAGAAAAAAAAAACCCAAAAACAAAACGCTAGAAAATCACCATTCTGCACGCCATATTGAAATCATGGATCTAGACAGTAATCATCAATGGGTGCTGAAACCATTAGGTGAGAGACTAATGGGAACTTCACAAATGGAAGAGAGGAGGACAACCTCTAAGCCTACAGATCTACTAATCAACCTGAGAATCAGCTAAAAATGGGGTAACCAGACGTTATGTGCCTTAGGATGCTGATGCAACAGAAAGCACCCAGCACCACTCATGAAATACTCTTGCCAAGAAAACTGAACTTGAGGAGCACGTGACTGGCTCAGTCGGTGGAGCATGCGACTCTTGATCTCAGGGTTATGAGTTCAAGCCCCACACTGGGTATAGAGATGATTTAAAAATAAAATCTTTACAAAAAGAAAAAGAAAACTGGACTTGAATCTAATCAAGCCTGTACATCTAACTACCAGTTTACAGACAATACCAGGTATCACAGGACAGGTTAAATGACACAAGGTAGCAAGCAGCTAAACTCAAAATGTAATACATTCTAAAGGGCAAATAACTCAGTTTCTTCAACAAATTATCAGCATGGAAAAAAGGGGGCTGATGAGGAAGACTGAGTTATAGGAAAAAAAAGATTTAAGAGATATAAAAACCAAATGTAATGTGTGGACTCTGTCTGGATCTTAATCTGTACTAACCAACTACAAAAGAATATTTTTGAGGTAACTGGGGACATTTCAATACGGGCTGCATATTAGATGATATTAAGGGCTTTTTATTAATTTCATTAGATATGATAATGGCATAATATATACATATTTTTAAGGCCCAGTCAGTTGGAGATGCATTCTGAGGTATTTTTCTGAGCAATACACCTCATTTTCATTTAAGGCATATTTACATGTGAAGCTGAGTTTGCCTTAATATACTCTGGGTAGGGGGCTGTATATATGAGGAATAGATAAAATAAGAGAATGGTTGAAGTAGAGAAACTAATGTGTGGGTTCTTTCTACTTTTATTTTATTTATCTATTAATTTACTTAGTTAATAACTTATTTATTTAATTACTTCTTATTTATTTCATTTAAGATTTTTTTAAGTAAGCTCCATGCCCAGTGTGGAACCCAATGCGGGGCTTGAACTCACATCCCTGAGATCAAGACCTGAGCTGAAATCAAAGTCAGATGCTTAACTGACTGAGCTACCCAGGCGCCCCTAAGATTTTTATTTTTAAGTAATCTCTACACCCAACATGGGGCTCAAACCTACAACCCTGAGATCAAGAGTTGCATCCTCTACAGACTGAGCCAGCCAGGTGCTCCCATTTCAAATTTTTTTGTTTGTTTTTTTTTTAAATAATTTCTACATCCAACATGGGTCTCAAACTCATGACCCCAAGATCAAGAGTCACATGCTTTTCTGACTGAGCCAGCCAGGCGCCCCAGGTTCTCTCCACGTTTACAATCCCACACCTCAACAGCCTCTAAAAGAGAGTGTTGCAATCCAGAAGCCCTTTCTTTTTGCTTAACTAATCAGGGCACAAAAGTGGCTACCAGCCGTGGCACAGCCCTGCCATACCAAAGCCTCGTGCTCTACAGAACTCACCTGCTTGGAAGGTAATGTCTGCTTCTCTGGCTTCTGCTGGGTCATCTGGGGCTTTGGCTTTTTGGGAGGGAGAGACTTCACTTTGCCTTTGTCCCGCAGCCTGAAATAAGAGGTCAGGTAAGTGTCACTCTGAGTTCTCCCTCTAACTGGCACCTCCGAGGCTGTCTCAGCCACAGGATAAAATTCCTTTTCTTACACTGGCTCTTTCTAAGCCCAGGATAAGTCATTCTAAAAAGGGAAACTAACAGAATATCCTAAGGCTCAACATTTGTATACCCTTTTATGTTGGCTTAAGACCTCAAGGGATTCCCCAAAACCATCGTTTATTTAACAAATATTTTGTAAAGATTGACTTTTGCTGATAGCACTAATCTGCCACCTCAAACAGGATCTGCAAGATGAACTCAAGTAGGTGGGCCTCAGCTGACAGAGACAGCCCTCTGGATGGGAGGAGGCTCTTCAGATGAGGAAAAAAATGTCAAGAAAGCTGCCCTAGGAGTTCCTCCGAGGCCCCCTCTGCTAGTCCTATTCCAGCCTCCAACTGTTCCAAGAGCGACAGCTCTGCCAGTATAGAGATGCCTGCACATCAACCCTTTATGGGGACTGACACAGTGCTAAACGTACCTTTCATCCAAACAAAAGCCGCAAAGAGGAAAAGGGCTAAGCAAAACCAAACCCTCTGAGAAGCCACCCGCTGTGCTATGCCACCATTCTGCATCTCACCTAATTTTGGGGCCTCGGTGCGAGGGAAGCACCAGGACCTTTCTTCTCTTCTTTCCATCAGGCAGCTCCACCTGCTCCACTTCAGCCTTGGTCTGGAACCCTGTCCACGAGGACGAATGCAGCTTCCCCTTCTGCTCCAGGGGGGCCTTGCTTTGTTCCTGTGTGTGGTTTTGAGCTGCTTTCCGTTGCTGGTCTTTTCCAAGCACTGGTTGTTCCTGCTGGGGCTCACCATTTGCAGGCTTGGATTTCACTTTTTGCTGCATAAAATAAGAGATTGCCATCTAAGTTTCTGGATGAGGTTTATTTGCTGGAAATACTCAGCAGAAAAGGAGCTTTATGTGAGCTTAGTGAAAGAAGGAGAAGTCTTCCCCTGAATAGTTAGAAATTATAGGAGAGTGAATACAAGTTTACAGGCCCTGACATAGTAACAGACGGCTACCAGGTTGGGGGACACAAAACCACCACTTCCCTTTCCATATACAGGAACAAGGGAAAGTACATGCACGCCCAAGACTCGAAAGCCAGTAGAAAGAAAAAAGAAAAACCAGTAGCATGGGGCAGTTACTAAACAAATGTGTGATGGGAATCCCAGAGGGAAAAGAAAGAAAGGAACAGAAGAAATATTTGAAGCAATAAGAGAATTTGCCAAACTTAGTGACAGACACTAAACCACAGATGCAGGAAGCTCAGCCAAATACCGAACAGGATATATACCAAAAACTCTCTACCCAGGCATATCATACCAAACTGTAGAAAATCGAAGACAAAAGTGAAGATCTGGAAAGAAGGGGTGGGGGGCAAGATAAAGAACACCTTACCTACAGGAAACAAAGATATTACTACACTGAATTTCTCTTCAGAAGCCATGTAAAAAAGAACAGAGAAATATTTAAGGTTTTGGGGGGAAAAGTCACCAACCTAGAATTCTGTATCTAGTACAATCATCCTTCAAAAGTGAAGGAGAAATAAAGATTTTCTCAAACAAAATTAAAAGAATTTGTCACTAGGGGACCTGTCTTGCAAGAAAGCCTAAGTGAATTTCTTCAGAGACGGAAGATGACTGAGGTCAGAAACTCGAATCTACTAAAGAAAGGAAGAACACTAGAGAAGGAAAAATTGAAATGAAGACTAGGAAAAGATGCTATGAGAAGGAAGGCATAAAGTATGTTACGAATTTATGCTGCACTGTGGTAGAAGAAAAAAAAAGATCCACATTAAATTAGTGTAATAATCAATACAACAAAAATCTATTATATGCCTATAATGCGCCAGTCTCAGTTTCTAAGGTAAGGGTAACAGAGGGAAAAAATAGTGTCTACCTTTAAGGACTCACAGACTAGTGGAGGATTAGAGACACACAAATAAGGCAAAGTGAAAAACTAAAGACCTTAAGGAAGTTCACGAAAGTACAAGTTAATGAGGTCTTACCTCTTTTGAGAAAGGTGGGAAAATGCTACTTGAGGAAGCACATTTGATCTGAATACGGAAACTGTGTAGAAGTATCCTTGAGTCAGGGAAAGGGGCACTTTTACACAGAAAGAGCAGTATGTATACAAGTATAAGCAACAAATAAAGCCATCTGAATCGTTTTTTAAGCCTCTAGTTTCAGAATCACTCTGAAGCAATAGCTTAAGGCAGTAAGTCAGTCTCCACCTAGGACAACAAAGCTGCCTCAAACAAGAACCAGATCCCAGATTTTCCTACCCAGGACTGCTATATTAACCACTGAAACCGCTCTTCCATTGGCCAGGCCCATGGTACACACCACAAAGACCGCAGATGTTTGGTATATAAGCAAATTCAGGTATATTATCCATGAAAGCTGCAGCAGTTATGGTACCAAGAATACTCTGGCCTTCCAGTCCTAGGGCAAGAGGGCTAAGAGAATGAGTACTGACTGTGTGCTGACCAAGCACTGTGACCACTTAATCCTTAACAGTCATGCGAGGCAGATACTGGTAATCCTATTTTACAAACTAAACTGAAGCTGAGAGGTACTAACTTGCCATGGAACTCAGGGGTACAGCCTGAGTCTGAACATGAGTAACCGTGTTCCTGTTCTTTCCTTTACACCACACTAAATTAAAAACAATACTAAAACTATCAGGCAGCACGTTTCTGGAGCTACCTAAGAAGGAAGAATTATGGAAGAGATAGCTGAAATCTACAGCAATGTAAAACTTTCATCTGGGCCATTACCTTTGACAGGCACGTCACCAAATACTGCACTGCTATTGGTGCAGTATTTTTGCTTTATTACTTTTTGCTATTAACATCAGCCTGATGCTCCTCTCTCCTTCCTTTCCCCTCTGTGGACCTATCACAAGAAAGCCCAGCAGAGAAGATCGCCTGGAGAGTTCTAGGGAACTAAGAGTAAAGGGGAACAACCTAATGAGGTAGAGACCTACCTCAAGGGTGCAGAACCACAAACTGAACAAAACAGGAGTTTAAATATAGCCTGAAAAAAACTGTTTTAACTGAACTATACACTTACAAATCGTAAATTTTATGTTAGGTGTTATCTGACCACAATTTAAAAAAAAAAAAAAAACAAGCAAAAACAGAAAAACATTCCAGTTCTATACCAGGCTGCGCTGAATCCTCAGTTCCTTTATTTTAAGTTTTCTTCGATCCTCCAAAGAGAACTCCACTATCGGTCTCTGTGTCAGAAGGAGAATGTCATTCATTAGATTTCTTAAGTTTCTGAGTGCAGTGAGCTGAGCTGTCCCGACCCCTGCCCCCTCTCTTGCTCACTTACTCTACTTAAAGGTAAGGGGCCATTCTGCACAAAGTCTATCCAATTTTGATTGCAATTCCTTCTAATCATCTTACCAGCTGAATCCCTGCTCATTCCCTCCACGGACTGGCTACCCTTTCCCATCACACACAAGTCAGAGGACACTGGACATAAAGGAGAGAAATGGTTCTCCGCAAATGGCCCTCAGAGGAACAGGTCCGCCCACAGGCTGAGGCTCACCTTCAGGGGCCCAAAAATCTCTGGATTGTTGTTGATGTGGCGCAGGGCTGTCAGGGCATGCTCGTGCTCCCGGAACTCCGCAAAGGCGTAGCCCAGGGACTGACCCTTAACTTTCCCATACACTCCTTTGAGGTCTCGCATCACCCTACACTAAGAGTAGAACAAGAGAAAGAACCCATGATTACAGGATGAGAGCATGAACAGGCTCCTGAAAAATCAGGTGCCTGGAACAGAATCCTCGTCCATATCACTGCCACAACAGTCATACTGCAGTAATACTTACCAGTGTCTTATTAGAATACACCTACTGAAGGCATAAAACCAATTAAATATTTTCTAGCTTCCTAAGAGTTTACAGAGATCCACAAAAACCTATAAATAAGCATGTAAATAAAATACCCCCCCAATTATAATCGCCAACTGTGAACAATACATACAAGTTGAGAGGTATACGGTACTTTAAATGGTGTAAGTTATCACTGAGGATGAAGTGCTGTCCATAGATCTCATCACTGAAGAAGCCACTCAGAAAGGAAATTACTAAAGAAGAAAAAGAAGGCCTGATGGCTTTAGTTTAAGACAGACACTGAGGGGGGCGCCTGGGTGGCTCACTCAGTTAAGTGGCTGCTGTCGGTTTGGGTCATGATCCTGGGGTCCTGGGATCGAGCCCCACGTCCGGCTCCCTGCTCAGCAGAGAGCCTGCTTCTCCCTCTCCCTCTGCCTGCCACTCTGCCTACCTGTGCTATCTGTCAAATAAATAAATAAAATCTTAAAAAAAAAAGAAAGAAAGAAAGAAAGAAAGAAAGAAAGACATCGAGGGGCTCAGTCGGTTCAGTATCCAACTCTTGACTTCACTCAGGTCAGGATCTCAGAGTCATGAGATCGAGCCCTGAGTTGGATTCCCCACTCAGCAGGGAGTCTGCTTCTCTCCTTCTCCCTCTTCTCTTTTTCTCAAATAAATAAATCTTTATTTTTCTTTGCTTTAGGCAAATTTTATTTATTTGTTTTTTATTATGTTATGTTAATCACCATACATTACATCATTAGTTTTTGATGTAGTGTTCCAATAAATAAATCTTTAAGAAAGACATTCAGGCATGGAGAAGGGCCTGTCTGACATAGCCTCAGGATTATAGGAAGAAGCTTTAGCTGGCTTTGCTCAGAGCTCAGATCTTCTCTGGCATGATTTTTCCTTAAATCCTTAAGCTGAATGTAATAGGCATCCTGGGGCATCGAGGATACCATACCATAGTAGCATTATCTTGGAAAAACTGATTGTTTACATATTACTCCTGGAAGCTGTAGTTCTGATGTAATGGAGACATCTAGGTATTAGGACACATGGATGCTGCATTTGGTATACTTCTAGTACCTACATTGTCCCTACAACTGTGCCATGTACTGTAGGGAAGTTAAGAAAAGCTTAAAGTGAGGTTCCTGTCCTCAAGAAGCTTACGATCCTGCTGAGATACTATACCTACACATATTAAAGAATTAAAGAGAGAATTCAAGGGGCGCCGGGGTGGTGTAGTCAGTTAAGCATCCGACTCTTGGTTTCAGCTCAGGTCATGATCTCAGGGTAGTGACATCGAGCCCTGCATGGGGTTCCATGCTCAGCGTGGAGTCTGCTTGAGATTCTTGCTCTCCCTTTCTCTCTGCCCCTCCTGCTCGTGCTCTTTCTCTCTCTCAAATAAATAAATCAGTCTTAAAAAAAAATCCCCTTAAAATTAGAGTTTTAAAACAAACAAATAAACAAACAAAATAAAGAAAAAATTCAACACAATGCAAATATTGTAAAACACATGAATTTCCCTAACTGGGGGCGCCTGGGTGGCTCAGCTGGTTAAGCATCTGCCTTTGCCTCAGGTCATGATCCCAGGGTCCTGGGATCGAGCCCTGCTTTGGACTCCCTGCTCAGCGGGGAGCCTGCTTCTCCCTTTCTGTCTCCCTCTGCTGCTCACCCTGCTTGGGCTCTCTCGCTTGCTCTCGCTCTCAAATAAATAAAGTCTTTAAAAAAAAGATTTTCCCTAACTGATGACAGGTTTTCAATGTACAGGCACTTACAAAGTATTGTGGATGTTGATATGAGAAATTACACAACTGACCTCTACACCAGTAACACTTTGAACAGTTTTACTAAGAGTGGTGTCAGATATGTGCTGATATGTTCACATTCTCTCATGTAATTCCCCAAATACCAATGCCATACATTTTCCCCCCACAGGAAGTATCTTTAATTTACATTGAATAGGTGAATAAAATAAGATTGTAACTTCTTCTAGAGTACCACTTATTTTTCATTCTTTTTTTAAATTTTTTATTGTTATGTTAATCACCATACATCATTAGTTTTTGATGTAGTGTTCCATGATTCATTGTTTGTGCATAACACCCAGTGCTCCACGCAGAATGTGCCCTCTTTAATACCCATCACCAGGCTAACCCATCCCCCCAACCCCCTCCCCTCTAGAAACCTCAGTTTGTTGTTCAGAGTCCATCGTCTCTCATGGTTCATCTCCCCCTCTGACTTACTCCCCTTCAATCTTCCCCTCCTGCTATCTTCTTCTTTTTTTTTTCTTAACATATATTGCATTATTTGTTTCAGAAGTACTGATCTGTGATTCAACAGTCTTGCACAATTCACAGGCTCACCATAGCACATACCCTCCCCAATGTCTGTCACCCAGCCACCCCATCCCTCCCACCCCCCACCACTCCAGCAACCCTCAGTTTGTTTCCTGAGGTTAAAAATTCCTCATATCAGCGAGGTCATATGATACCTGTCTTTCTCTGATTGACTTATTTCACTCAGCATAATAACCCTCCAGTTCCATCCATGTCGTTGCAAATGCAATGCCATACATTTTGAAGAGATTTTCCAGGATTAGGAAAACAGTTTACAGTCACAAATCAGAGCAAAGCAGATTTATAATATTGGCTGTGTTACTTATTCAATAAATATAGATTGAGAGATTACTATGTTCCAGGTACTCTGCCAAGACCTGGGAGCAATGACCCACCTCCTCTCCAAGAGCTCATTCTGGTCGGGAGAAATGACTGTCAGACAATGACAGGATGGTGTAATGGTAAGTGCCATGACAAAGACTTGCAGAGGCTGGGGCAGAGGAGAAGTCTCTGTACTCACACAGTGGTCTAATCAAATCTTGGTGCGAATCCAGTGTTTGTCTAATACAACTACAACTGTTGAAGACCTGCATGGCTCTCTGTGCTTACCACACAGCACTTTTCATACAGTAAGAGCCTAGATGGCACTAAAATGTTCTCCTAAAGAGCAAACTACACAGATTATTTTTCTGTGAGAAAATTAACATTACAGCACCTACTATGATGCTGAGCACACAGCAAGCATTCAAATTAATTCATGAGGGCAGACACTTCCTCACATTCTGCTGCAATTTGGACAATGCATTGAAAGGCAGTTCTAAGAAGAGAAAACAAACAAACATGAAAACTGCCAAACTCAGCCTCATCTGTTGATGTTGTGGCCAACATCAATGTGCCCAAAAGAAACTGTCAATCTACTAGCACCACAGTCTGAAATAAACGCTCAATCTGATCCAGGATGAGTACCAAACTTCAGAGTGGGCAGGGCCAACTCTCACCTCCTTGAGGCGCACCCCCTTCTCCCCTCGGGTGGCATTCAGCAGCAGCTTTCTGAGCTTTTTGTCGTCCACACCCTTTGGGAGGTTGTGCAGGCAGAGCCTGGTCTGGGACACAAAGATATTCTGGTCCTTGAGTTTCTGATGCTTCAGCAGCTCAAACTGAAAGAACAACAAATGGTTAACAATACAATCCAGCCTTTAAAATTGCAGGTTCATAATTCTCCAAAAGGAAAGAACTGTGACCACCACCCCCCATCCAATAACCACACATATGGACAAAAGGAGGGAAATCACCCACCTACAGCCTTATGATGCCTAGCATAGGGAAAGAAAGGTTCAAAGAGGCAAGATGGTGAATAGTTGGTAAGATCACGGGCTCTAGATTCAGACTAAATTGGAAATCCATCCCTAACTGGAGAAGTTACATGAAATTTTTTAAGCCTCAGTTTTTCCCCTCTATAAAGTGAAACTGTAGGTCAAAATACCAATCTCTCAGCACTGATGTAAGGCTGAAACGAGGTAATATACAAACAAAATCCCAAACTCAAAACCCGGCCTAAAGCAAATAATAAATAATACTGTGCTTACCATCTATGCCTAGTCCTTATCTGCCCACCAATTCCAGCTAATTATCTAGTCCTTCCAAAAGGAAATGGAATTTAAAGAATACTTGATAGAATGTTGTCTCAACTCTGCCACCTTGAGGCAAAAGACTGTCCACGACCGCAGAAAGGAATTTTGCTTCTGGAGCACTGGACTCAACTATGCTGCCCAAAACACCAGTCCCAGGGCGACGTTTGCTAAAGCAAGAGGGTGACATCCTTCTCCTGGTGTGTTTTTTAAAAATCAGGTTAGTAGAAAAAAGTTTAAATTAAATTTTTTCTTTTACCAAGTCTTATTTCTGCTGTTCCTTATTTGGTAAAGGTACTAACAAATCACTAAATAAAGATACTCTGGAAATGAATATTAAAGGGTTATTTGAAGAGGCTCTCAGGCCTGAGCTCAACAGTATGATTTTTCTCCCAGGAAAAGCTGTGCCTGTGGTGAATTATAATGCATATAATCTGAGCTTTTTGCTAGAAAAGTTTGCTCTAAGGGAAAATTAAAATGTGTCACTATCAGGTTGTGATCAGAAAGGGGCACACAATGCCCACCAAATACCATGACTTCCAGATGCTCAATACCAAAAAAAGTTGTGAACACGAGACTAGAAACTGTACACAGGAAAAACACACTGCCTCTTGGTGTCATTATATTCTCATCTCTCTTCTTCACCTTCTGTACCTTCAAGCTCCAAAGCTTATTCTCTTCATGGTCATGCCTCTTTATCATTCTAGGCTGGCTTATTTGAAAGTAGACTACTTGGGCTAAAGTTAAAATTACTGCGAATGAACACTACTAAGCAGCAAAGAAACTCAATGATATCAGTTATCAGTGGAAACTCCCATGACATGGAGTTTTCCTAAGATGATTTTATAATCTGGACACAGCCCCTCCCAAAATCTTAACTCTTCCTCCTAAGACCCACATCTACCTCCTTCCCTACTAACTCCAGCCCACTCTGATCTTCCTTTCTTAGGTTATTCTGCCTTTACACTGACACCTAATTATATATAGCGTTAGCCTCTAAGTGCCTATTGCATTTTGTAGAAGCATACTATTTTGGCAAACATTTAATCCTGAGCATTGGGAAATTAAAGAATAAGACCCAGTCCTTATAATGGCATACAACGCTCATATAATATGACGTACAATGTTGGGTTATTTGCTGTTTTACACGTGTGCTTCCCTCTAACAAGACGGTAAGCAAGCAGGGTTTGTGACTGATGCGTGGCTCTCTGACAGGCACCTCCAGCATTCAATAGCTATTATTTATTGATTTATAGTAAGTCATGCAGAACTTGAAGGCTGGTGCCTAATCTACCCACCCTTTCTCTTTTGGCCATATCAGCAGCACTCACACCCTCCGCAGCCTTAGTCCCAGCACGAATCACTGCAAAAAGAGGGAAAAAGGCCAAGACATCAGCAAGGGAATTTTCACTGAGCAACAAGAGGAATGTGATTTGAATGATGCAAGCTCTTTGTACAGGGCCCAGAGGACTATGCTGGCCAGGACATAGTGGCATTTGGGTAGGTCCAGAAATAGGCTACAGGGCTAAGTTCTCAGCTCTGTGCTGCTCTCAAGGACTAAAACTGAACATTTTGTGAATTTGTTCCTCTCCTCCTTCCCTCCCCTCAAAAAGCTTCATGTGCGTATGCCCAACATCAGATGGAAAGGCCTAGAAGAAGTTCTGATAACAAGTGCATTTTAGGTATCTGGGATACAAAAGTGCTCCACCTATAACCTGCCCTTGGAATTTTACTGTTCCTCGAGTACTTGGGGGTCAGTACTAAGCAGTGAGTTAAGCCAACCTGAAAAGAGCCACCTGGCCAAACAGAGGCCTAGAACCAAAGGCTAAGGGCCTTACATCACTAGTCTGGGCTGTGCGGCTGCGCAGCAGGTAGGCTGACAAATACTGTATGACCTAGAGGAAGGGATTCTTCTGTTTTGCTTTGTTTTTTAATTGAAGCTCATTTCTGATTATCTTTCTGACATTAAGGGAAAGGTACTGGGTGCACATTTTAAATCTATGAATAATTCAGAAGGGTAATTTTAGTCATAATTTTCAACTCCTTCAGAAAAACTATCAGAAATCATGACAAGAAGCAAAGGTAATTTGAGCTTTTCCTCCCTCTTTGCCCTGCTAATCCTCTGACCTAAAGGTCTCAAGGCAAGCAGGCAGAAAAGAGAATGGGGCTGGTTAACCAACAAACTGAGTGAAGGCTTCCTAACAGAAAGCCCCATCTGCTCAAGTGGAATAATAATGTAACACTGTTTAAGAGGACATGTGGGTTTTGAATGTGAAACATGCCCCCAGACATACCGTTGCTGGTCACTGTCATAGCACGGGGCCCGCTGGTCAGAAGCCGGGTTCACCCCCCCTTCCACTACTCACAGCCTTCTCGGGCCAGGTAGAGGCTCCGGGTCCCGGTAGGCTTCTTCACCTTCTTTGTCTGCAGCTTTGCAGCCTCATCACGGGTCACTGCCAAGTCGACCCTGAGCTGCCGGCCATCCAGTTTAAGCCCACCACCCTGTAACAGATTGCAACCCTCTCTCTTAAAATTCACAATGAGTAGAGACAAAGCCCCCGGCCAGGAATGCCAAGGAAAGGGAAAACAGCAAATCCCAATTATGCTATGGAACCCAACCCATAGGATGTTTTAGCCCAGGTGGCTGCAAGTGGGCTACTGAGCCTAACATCTAGTATAGCTGTGCAAAACGCCATGTGTATACTTAGGGCAGTTAGTAGTAATTTATTTTATGGGAGTTGATTAGGCCCAAAGTAGACCCAAATTGAGGAAAATTGATCTATATAGAGCCAATTTTTTAAATTCTAAAGAAAGCTAATAAAATGATAGTATTAACTCTACTTAGGAGAATTTAAGAGATAATGACAGTACAGGATAACTTATCTCAAAACACTATATACTTGCTTATAGAATACACGGAAAAATCCATCACCCATACATTTTTTCTCATTGACTCCACTTTACAGATGACCTTAATCCCTTCTTGTCCCAACCTTTCACGTCATCACCCTATGATAGAGGCTGACATACAGTGATTAATAAACATTAGATAATTATACCTGCTTCCTCACTTATAAAATAGGTATAATAATTGATCTTTTTTTTTTTTAAGTACATTCCATGCCCAGTGTGGAGCCCAACATGGGGTTTGAACTCACAACCCTGGAGACTGAGACCTGAGCTGAAGTCAAGAGTCAGACCCTTAACCGACTAAGCTACCCAGGCACTCCAATAGGTATAATAATTGTAATTACCATACCCCTGCAGAACTGACATAAGGATTAAATAAGGTAATACATGTAAAGCTGAGTGCCTAACACACACCAAGTGCTCAGTAAGTGTTAGCTTTATTATTATTATATTATTGACAGTACTAATAAAGCTGGGCATAAACAGCAGATGCTGGGGTTCGGAGCCACTGTGCCCTAAGTTAAGGGGTAAAAGAAATGTCCTCCTTACCTCAGTCTCTGGAGAAGCAGCTTCAAGGCATTTCTGAGCTGCTTCTTGAGTCATGAACTGGGCAAATGCACAACCTGCACCGAGAAACAAAATTAAATGAGATGCCAAACCCCTATGGCCCACCAGGATGCCGAAGATGACGCTACAAATGGCAGGCTGACACAGAGTGGAAGGGGGAGCAGCGTCCTTCTGTTAGGGGCTAGGAGACGGGCACTGCACCAGGCATTGAAGGTTCAAAGACAGATGGGACACGTGCTTACAATGAAATTTTACTATTACTTCATCTTTTCCAATGCTTCTTAGAACTTTAGTCTCATCGTTGCTCTCCTTAGTAAGAAAAAGCCACAAGATATGGTAGAGAAATTCCACTTAAATCAGCATTATTTACTGGCTTGCCTTTTAGAGGACTAAAAAATGAGGCAGGAACCACCTAACCTGAAATTAATTACAGATCTCACTGTCCTCAAAGCCACCTGGGAGACATCAAATATGAGCGGACCGGCCTCTTGTAGTCAAAGTCCCTGGCTTCTATCACATGAATACAGCAGTGAACCAGAAAGCCATAAGCTCAATTCTTGACTCATACCCTCAAATTTGCACAGGCTCACCTGTCACTGGTTAGATGCAGAGCCAATCAATCCATCCTAATTTCTGCTATTGATAAAAAGCAGTTTTTATCAGCAAAGAAAAAAAGTTCACCTTACAGTAGACTCCAAAAAAGAAATACAAGTTTCACAATATTTTGTTAGTATTCCTTTATACAAATTTAAATATTCCCTCATATATGAAAAAAACGTCCTAGAGCTACTAGGGCATTGATTGACCTTTTGTCCTCTACAAGAATGAATGGCAGCAGACTGAGACAACACACGTGGCAGGCCAACCCAAGAGTCACCATCTAGGTGAGGTCCTTCCTGCCTCCTCCAGGCAGGGCCAAGTGCCCCACCCACCAAGCCTCCAATCACATCTCTCTTTTTACAGCTCCGGTCAGGTGGCATCTTCCCAAACAGAAGGAATGCCTCAGGAGTAAGGGCCATATTTCTAGGCTGCTAGCACCTACCATGGTGTCTGGCATTAATAGATACTCAATAGGAAGAAACAAACAATACAGAAAGAAAGGGAGGAAGATGGGGGAAATATGTTCTAACTGACAGATTAGCTTATCCATCCAATATGAAGAAAAAAGGTACTTCTCTCTGAATGGGTAAGAATTTTAACACTGGAAATTCCTAGGTCAGTATTGGGTTTAATCTTAACACTTCCCTAAAAGTCTACAGATAATTTTTAGCTCTCCTAGACAGCGAAATGGCATGCTGACAGGGATAAATGCTAGGAGGCGGCCAAGGCTGTGTGAGTAGGCAAAAAAATTTAATAAGAGCTAGAAAAAGAAAATGTATTTGGGACACGTGGGTGGCTCAGCCGGTTGAGCGTCTGCCTTCAGCTCAGGTCATGATCCCAGGGTCCTGGGACGGAGTCCCGCATTGGGCTCCTTGCTTGGCGGGGAGCCTGCTTCTCCCTCTGCCTGCAGCTCCCCCTGCTTGTGCTCACTCTCTCTCTCTTCCTCTCCCTCTGACAAATAAATAAATAAAATCTTAAAAAAAATAATTAAAACTATGCTTATTAAAATCGTTAACTCTAAGCTAATATTAATAGATCAAGAAAGAGACAGAGCAAGTCAACTATTGACTACATTCTGAAAATACCAACCCGACAGACTACTGCACTCAAAAGGAAACAAAAGATATCAAAGTAATACAATATCCTATAGTAATAGGAACATTCTATGCAATTCTAGTTGCTTATTTTTAGAAAAACATACTGGAAATGGAGAAGGTCCAAGAAGCATAGTTGAGTATTAGAGTTGAAGACACATTAAGTGATTACTCCAGTTGAACCTACTCATTCTACAGATAAGAAACTGAAGCCTGAAGTGGTTAAACAATTTACCAAAATCACCCAGCTGGTCTATGGCTCAGCTACAATTAGATCCCTAATATCCAGGAAGCAGTTCAGCTTTCTTTCCATCATACTGACCTACTTATATCTTTTTGGCTAAGGAAAAACCAAAGATGATCAGGTCTCATCAATTTGGAAAATAAGGTTTAGAACAGAGGTTCTTAACCCTTGAATAGATCCCAGAAAGCCCACAAACCCTCAGAAGTGGGATTTTTCTGGAGAGATGGTTCATAGCTTTTGCTAGATCTCAAAGAAAGCAAGAACCAGAATGAATTAAGAATTCACTGCTTTAGGAGAATGACTGCAGTTGATAAAATCAAAGATTATAAATATACTGAAAAGATGCTGCTCCCCTGAACAACAGTACACTAGAATGAACTGGGGCCAATCCTTCAAAGTTCAAAAGAAATAGCTTTAGAGAAAAAAAATCTAAGGCAGCAGTCCTGCTATGTACAGCTTTCCTTCTGACTGTTGCCACTGCAACAAAATTTCTGTTAGCTTCCATCTCTAACAAAAGCAACTGAAAAAGATCCCAGTAATTTCAAGCAATGTGGAATGATTAATACCCATGAGATGCTATCACATTTGAAATTCAAAGGAGAACAACAAATGGAATTCATTACCCTAAAGTAAATAAGCAAGGGCTTAAAAAGCTTAGACAAAATTGTGGCTGGCAGCACCATTAAAGATGCTGAGTTTGATATCTTGGAAGACAACCTCAGAATGTCCTTGGTGCTTCTATGGACCACAGAAACCCGGGCTGGATAGACTGTAGACCCCTCAGAATGATACACATTATGTTCTCAAGTAACCTAATCAGTGTCCATGGCAGCAGTCTCCACCTTTTTAGGGCCTAACAAGCTGACAACAAGTACCTTTAGAATGCTCTGTGTCTGGATGCAAGACAATACGGACATACTTAAGGTCTCCAAATTGCTGGAGGAGCTCCCCGAGTTCTTCTTCCTCTGAGTCAAAAGACAGGTTTCTACGGAAGATAGTCAAGTCACAAGAAAAGTCAATTACTAAAGTGAGATCCTGTGTTCTAGTACAAGGTGAGTAAGACACCAAATGGAGTGGTACTCTTGTTCATGACCACCCTCTGGGGTTCAGGTACAGTACCAATACATAGGGGAGGCCCCCAGTGGCCCAGCGTCTGATGTGTGACTCTGCCCCTCATTCATAACTAACTAGCCTTTCTATGTCAATCAGATTCTCTCCCCCAGGAATTTAAAACTTGAACAGACACACACAAAGGCCAGAAGCCGTTGATGCAGATTCATTTCAAAATAGCAATACCCCACCCAAAGGAAACTTCTGGGAAGCAGAAATCTGAAAATGTCCTATATCTTGATCTGGGTGGTGGTTATATGGGTATATACAAACGAAAAATTTCACTGAGCTGTACATTTAGAGTAATGCACTTTACAGAATATATGTTATGCCTTGAGAAGGGGAAAAAAAAAAAAGGCAGTGAGTGTTCTCAGAGAACAGACCCACAGCCTTCCTACAGCTGGGGCCCAAAACATCCCAGATTTTCATCTCCTTCTTAAGGTTTGCTCTTCGACAGCTTTGATCCTGTGAACCACCCAATGTTCATCGAACAAACCCGCTTTTTCATTAACATTGGCCAAAATTAGTTTCTCTTATTACAAACAGAAGATTCACAGCAGGCTGATGAGAAAAGTCAAGTGTGTACATGTGTCTGTCTGTCTCTCTTGATTACCCATTTTCCTTTCTGTGTTGCTGTGAAATCTAGGTTTCAGTTAAAACTTTACAAAAGCCAGAAAATCCTTCAAAATAATAACTCAAAAGCAAACACAGTAAAGTTTACTAGCTAAGTGCAAAACAAGAAAAGCACTTATTTCTCTTGATGGGATTAAAAAAATGTTAGATTTTATTCTACCAAATTTCAATACATTATAAAGATCTTTCATTTCCCCAGCAATGCACATCCTTCCAGGGTAAAAACAAGAAACAAAAAAACAGTCCCCAGTAAATATTTATAATTTTTCTTCTCTATACTCAGTTAACAACCCCATAAACAATTCTATCTTATGAAGTAACCGAAACAAAAAAGATGTTCTGCAATAAGACATATCCTAGCCATGTCACTTCTTCTAATTTGTCTCATTGTGTATAGTTTTCTCTCTCCCATCCTTTATTTTCCTAAGTTTCATTAAAAGATGTAGAAATAGTAAGGAATGGTGACATTTCCTCCTTCTTATTAAACAGCATCCTCTACAAATACAGAATTATTTATATGGCCATTCCAAACAACACAATAAGAACAACTATGAAGAGACAAGCCGTGAAAGAAGAAAATGGGCTACAACGCAGCTTATGAAGGCTAAATTCACCTTTGTTAACAGCTATGATATGGGCATGTGTGTGGGTGTTCTCTGAGCAATCATTAAGGTTAATATTTTGTGTCTTTTTGCTCATTTATTTCCTAAATTTCCTACAATAAGCATAAGTTATTTGTATAATAAAAACAATCTTAAAAGACTATACAGGAAGATAAAATACACATCTTTAAAATAAGACCCAAATAGCCCTAGCACACTGGCACTTAAGAAAGGACAAGAAAGGGGGTGCCTGGGTGGCTCAGTCGGTTAAGCGTCTGCCTTCGGCTCAGGTCATGATCCCAGGCTCCTGGGATTGAGCCCCACATTGGGCTTCTTGCTCAGCAGGGAGCCTGCCCCTCCCCCTGCTTGTGCGCTCTCTCTCTCTATCTCTCCCTCACTCTCTCTCAGATAAATAAATAAAATCTTTTAAAAAAAGAAAGAAAGAAAGGACACATGCTTGAGGTATCCTAAAGATATCCTGACTCTATGAAACGGCGAATGTACCACAGTCAGTAGGACTAAAATGGCAATGGCAACATGGAATAAAACCCATCTCCACCTGACTCCCTCCTTAAGATTTCCTGGAAACAAATGGGATGCCTTATTTTATTCTGGACACTACTTTAAAAGGTAAGTTAGGCATAGAGAAAAATTATCTGGGACAAGTGTATCACCCCTCCCCAGCATTCCCCTAAAACAAAAGCCAGAAGCAAGATGTTTCTAAGTGTTGAAGAACTGATTTATTCCAAATGATGCTACTCCAATTACGAAGAAGGAAATGTAAATGAGGACAAAATCTGCAGACCCCTGCTCTTTATCTTCTGTGTGCAGTTCTGATTCTCCTATATTCTCACTGTTTGCTATGTTCCTAGGGCCAGATGTATTAATGGTCTTAAAGGCATCTAATTTTCTGGCCTACCTAACAGAATTAGTACCGGGGGGTGGGGGGGGCGGGGGAAGAGTGGGGTGACTGGCTGGCTCAATCAGTGGAGCATGCAACTCTTGATCTTGGGGTTGTGAGTCTGAGCCCCACACTGGGCATAGAGCTTACTTAAATGTAAAATCTTTACAAAAATAAAGAGAGAGAAAGAAGAAAGGAAAAAAGGAGAAAAGAAAAACCTGTGAAGGCAACATAAACAGCAGATCTCAAGGTACAAAGGCATACCTGATAAAAACAGTTTTCCCTTCATTCACATCAGAGGGTAATTTCCTCTTCTTTTTCTTTGAGACTTGCACATCTAAAGTAAAAAGAAAAAACAACAAACTGAAAAAGACTTAGTGCAACCCATATGACAAGGGGCTAACTTCTTAGATATATAAAAACCTTGCTTAAGTGAATAAGAAAAAACAAAACTAAAAGTGAACAAAGGATATACAACTAAATACATGAAAAGATGCCCAAATTTACTCAAGAAAAACATAGCACCAGAAATAAGAAATTATTTTTTATTCCAACAGATTGGCAACAACCAAAAAAAAGGATGAAATGCGATGTGGTAAGGGTGTGGGACAAAAGACATTCATATATACTGTTGTAACAGTCTAAACATTAAGAACATTTGAGGAGAAAAAAATACACATTCATACACACAGACATACACTATATTTGACGTGTGTGTGCATGCACGTGTTTTTGCTTATAAAAGTATTAAGATAGGGGGCGCCTGGGTGGCTCAGTCGTTAAGCGTCTGCCTTCAGCTCGGGTCATGATCCCAGGGTCCTGGGATAGAGCCCCGCATTGGGCTCCCTGCTCCATGGGGAGCCTGCTTTTCCCTCTCCCACTCCCCCTGCTTGTGTTCCCTCCCTTGCTGTGTCTCTCTCTGTCAAATAAATTTTAAAAATCTTAAAAAAATAAAAGTATTAAGATAGATACACAAGAAACTTTTAACATTGGTTGTTTCTGGAGAGGGGTCCTAAGTGGCTGAAGACCTGGGTACAAGGAAGACTCTCTGGGTACAAGGAAAGACTCTTCTTTCATATTCTGAAAGAATATGAAAGAAACAGCAGTGGTTACTTTAAGGGACTCTTGGGGGCAGTGGTGAGGAACTTTTCTTTCTATATTATTCTCCTGCACTATCCTTTTTAATTTTCTGCCATTATTATGTATTGACTCAATAATTTTTTCAAGGTAAAGAAATGGTAAGAGACAGATGAGCCTGGTTATTAAATGCAAGGTCTCATAGTCCCATCAGTATAGAAGCTTCTTTGATTCTACAGTGTCTACCATTCTCTCCTCATGGAAAAAGCTTATTTCCTCAGATTTTTTATATGGCCAAACCAACATGCCAGACTTAACCTAAAGAACCAGTTATTGACCATTCCTCGTTCTGTAATGACCAGCCTCCCTCAATAAATGAGTTGAACTTATGCCCAGCAATCTTTATAAAGGGAGCAACAATGTTTGATTACAGTTTTCCAAAATGCCCCAAGAGGTCCTTTATCCTCATCTCAACTCATAAGAGTTGTTTAAAATCCTCTTGGTATGGGACGCCTGGATGGCTCAGTCGTTAAGTGTCTGCCTTCGGCTCAGGTCATGATCCCAGGGTCCTGCGATCGAGTCCCACATCAGGATCCTTGCTCAGTGAGGAGCCTGCTTCTCCCTCTCCCTCTGCTACTCCCCCTGCTTGTACTCTCTCTCTCTCTGACAAATAAATAAATAAAAATCTTTTTTAAAAAAATAAATAAAAAATAAAATCCACTTGGTGTTAGGATACAATATCCTGCTTATCCAGTTATTCATTCATCTTGAAGAAGCAAGAGAAGTAGTGCTTCAGCATTAAGCCAGGTTTTAAATTCCCTGAGAATCTTAACCCTCAAATACTATTCCAAACGTATTTAAAAGACACAACAAAAATGCTGAGAAGGAATATAAAAATATCCTTTCCAGCACTGAAACATAAATCTGACAGAACACCTTAGGGCCCTATTTAAAAAGAGGTGTGCGCTGAACTGATGCATATTTGTCAGTAACTGGTTTTAAACATAAAGGTGTCCACAAAGATCCCAGGCAAACCTTCATCCTCTTGCTCTTCACTGTTGGTATCACTCTGAGCCGGTTCCTCTCCGCCATCGATACTCTCTCTTCCCTCCAGGATGCTGTCGCCGTCAGAGAGCTCCTCCTCACTGCCCTCTGCGGCTGCGGCCCTCCAGACTGCTCTGCAATGGCACAGGTCAGAACCAGGGGTCTGGGCTGTCAGAGGAGTCTCTCCATGTTCATTACACACGTCGCCTCTGCCGTGATGGGGGCAGGGAAGACATCACTGTCCCTCCCAGACACAAGCCTAGCTCTGAGTCTGTCGTCTCGGAACAAGATGAGCTGCTTACCTCTTTTGAATCTGTGCAGTCTTGGTCACCCTTGATTTTTTATTCTCTTCCCCCTCCTCCTCTTCCTCTTCTTCCTCCTCTGTGGCATCCGCTTCTTCCCTGCCATTCTCTTTATCTAATTCCTGATGTTTAGGTTCAGGCCTCTTCTCCTCACCTACACACGGAGGTAAAGAAAAGAATTCATTTAGAATCCAAAATTACCTTGGACAAGATTAACCAATACCCCAAGTTCCTAGTTCGTTGGGACTATAACTATTTTTCTCAGTATTTTTCTTACTGCATGTAAGAGAAAGTATGAGGGGAAAAAAGCAAAAACAACAAAAAGCCCTCATCACTGAGATTCCCTGGAGGCCTGTCCCATTCACCAGAATGAGAGAGGGAGCAGCTGAGCCTCTGCAAATGGCCTGCCACTGCATACCACAGCCTGCACAGCGTTCACCTGGGGCCCAGCCATGAACTTTCATCCCGGTGAGTTCTGTTCTCGGAGCTCCTGGTGGCTTAAAAGCCGCCTGCTTTCTAAAAAAAACCTCAAGTTTTAAGTTTCCCTATTCTTAATAGTCCATCATTTTATGAAAAGTGGGAAAGGACAGCCAGCATAGGGGACAATGAACTCAGGTCCCACTCCTCATTCACATTCACACCAAGGAGTGAGCTTAGACTCAAAAGACCCCATGTTTTGAGACCAGATCACCAGATGGTACAACATGAATCGACAAACAGCTCTGTGCTCACTTCTGAGCCCACAGGAATTCAGAGTTTCTCTTAATCCTCAGTCTTATTCTTTCCGTTAATCTTGTGCTTTTGGTATCTTTAACCCAGTATTCTTACTGACAAGCAGGTTCCCTTATAATTTTACCATAGGTAGAGCTGTTTCCATACCCACCCCAGGACATACAACCCCTCCTACCCAATATCATCACATCTTACCTGGGGCAGAGGCAGACTGTGTATTTTTATATTTATCCTTTGCCACAGCCCAATCCACAGCTACTGTCCGCCCTGTCAGATAGAAAAGTAGCATCAGAAAGGTCTTCCTTTTTTTTTTTTTAAGATTTTATTTATTTATTTGAGAGAGAGAGATAGAGTGAGATAGAGAGAGCCCAAGAGGGGGTAGGGTGAGAGGGAGAAGCAGACTCCCTCTGAGCAGGGAGCCCAATGTGGGACTCGATCCTGGGACTCTGGGATCATGACCTGAGCTGAAGGCAGTCGCTTAACCAACTGAGCCACCCAGGCGCCCAGTCTTCCTCTTTTTAAAGTCTCTTGTAAATGACTTCCTATTCATCAAAGACCGTGATGGAACCAAAACAGACAAAAGAAACTGCTAATTCAGAGAATGTTGGTCCTGAAATAAACCTCAGAGTAGCCTAAGTTTTTAACCCTTAAACTTTTTCATCAATGTAAATAGTTATTTTGCCTTTCTACAACAGCCCCCACACCTGGGGTAATAGAGAGAAGAAAGAAAGAAAGAAAGAAAGAGAGAGAGAGAGAGAGAGAGAGAAAGAAAGAAAGAAAGAAAAAAGAAAGAAAGAAAGAAAGGAAGGAAGGAAGGAAGGAAGGAAGGAAGGAAGGAAGGAAGGAAGGAAGGAAGGAAGGAAGGAAGGAAGGAAGGAAAGGAAGGAAAGGAAGGAAAGGAAGGAAAGGAAGGAAAGGAAGGAAAGGAAGGAAAGGAAGGAAAGGAAGGAAAGGAAGGAAAGGAAGGAAGGGAGGGAACAGTGTTTCCAGTCAGACAAGTCTCTAGTTAGACTAAGCAAGAGGCAAAACAAGTGCTCTGGAATAATCTGCACTCTGCACAGAAATTACAAAGTCTCCAAGCCAAGCCCTTCTTTAGTATCTAGTGTATGAACCCAGTCAGTTTAACAGCCCAAGGGAGCTGAAGGGTGCTGAAGAATGACCACAACCAAGACAGAGAAACCTGCAAAACCCACAGCCCCCGGACAGCAACCTGCATCTATCAGTGATTATTTCAGGGACATTTTTTCATTAAGGATTTAAATGCATACTCATCATCCAAATAAAGTAAAGCAAATAATGGCATGCGTTCTTTCAAGTTTAACCCTAAGATCAAGCACTAGGAATATTTCATCAAACAGCTTCTATATTATCAGTAAGACTCAACAATTCAAACACCTTTTGAAAATGTAGAAAGTGGGTTACTGTGCTAATTCACCAAACACCAGAAATATCTGGGTGAACGGTAGAGATACAGAAAACTCACCTTTTATCTCTTTCATGTTCATGCTTTTGAGAGCTTTTCCTGCTTCTAGAAGGTTTTTGAACTGGACAAAAGCAAAACCACGCATCTTTCCATCTGTGTGCAAATGTACAAAGAAGTTAGAGGCAGCAGGTGGGGAGCCAAAGAACACCAAGAAGGACATTACAGCAACCTGGGCTGGCAGGATGACCCAAGCCCTGCCAACCAGTCAGCCCCTTGCCCAAAGCAATAGCTCTTGTCCTCCTGCTGAGGATACCCTGATTCAAGCTTGGGGAGAGCAAATGCATTTTCTCAAACTATAACTTGTCTTCTAAAACTAGTTCTGAGATCTAACTAAAAATGCCATTGGGGGAATAAGTACAATTTTTGAGTTTTTGTTATGTGTCCAGCACTGTGCCTGATATTTTATATATATCATATCATCTGGGGCTCACAAAGAGTATGACATGAACCTTGTATTTCTATTTGTTTAAAAGATTTTATTTGAGAGAGAGGGAGTGCATGCACAGTTGGAGGGAGGGGCAGAGGGAGAGGGACAAGCAGACTCCGCGCTGAGTGTGAGCCCCACGGCGGGGCTGGATCCCACAACCTTAAGATCATGACCTGAGCTGAAATCAAGAGTCAGATGTTCAACCAACTGATCCACCCAGGTGCCCCTGTATTTTTATTTCAAATATCGGTTAGTTCAAGGATGAAATGGAAAAACACCATTATGTTAAATAATCTTAATCTAATCCACAACAAATGAAGGTTTGCTAGTACCTGGCTTCCGGGGGATGTTTACTTCCAGGACAGCTCCATATTGAGCAAATACTGTCTTCAAGTCATCTTCTGAACACTGATGCCAAACGTGAAAAGATATTATCACAGAAAATAAACATGAAACATCAACCATTAAATTAGTTCATTACAAAGAACTTGAACACTTTCACTCCTTTTTTACTTTTGAGACTGGGACATCAAACATTTCTAAACAGAAGACATCTTGCTTTGGATCAAAGAAGACAGATATCAAAGAGCTCTTCCTCCCCTCGCTATCCCAGCAGTAGTGCCCCAAAAGGAAGACATCGTCACACTTACTATTCTTAATTAATTGTTTATACAGGCCCATTTTCTGTATTCAACAAGGCTAAGATTCATGCCCAGAAGGAATTATGTCCAATTATACCATCCTGGTGAGGAGCTCCACCAATGAGCACCAAGAGCCTTAAGAACAGGTCGTGTTAGTGTTCTCTGTCACTCACCTTAAAGCTCAGGTTCCGAATAATTAATCTGGCTTTCTTGTCTGCCACTTTGGGTTTTTTAGGCTTCAGTTCCTTCTTTGGGGGTTCTGAAGTTTCTAAAAAATAAGAGGCAACAAAACAAGTCTGTGATCCAGCCTCTAGGCCCAGAACATCACAGGAAAGAAGCTACTAGCAAAAAAAGGCATTTCTCACAGGGTTAAGTATGACAACACCCAGAACCACCAGATTTCCAAAGTTAGAATTAAATAAAAGACAAATATGAGTAATAAAATACATTAGATGATTTTGGACATCAAAAGGAAATTTAAGGAAGTTTTAAATTTAGAAGCTATCCCCTATCCTCCCTCCCCCTCCTCCCCTTCCTCACTCTGAGGGAAAACTCCCTGCTAGAAACTCACCATTTTCCCCCTTTTCCGTGGACTTGTTCCTCTGTTTTTTCTTGGCAATAGTCACGCTGATCTTACAGCCTTCGAAGGTGGTAATCTCCTTGAGGGCCCTCTGAACATCTTCCAGCATAGAAAAAGTGACATAGCCAAAGCCTCGACATGCCTTACTCCCTGAACAGTGAAGGGTGAGGGGGAGAACTGTAAGCCAAGAGCCCTAAAACAGTAAACTCTCTCTTTAAAAAAAAAAACAAAAAACAGTAAATTCTCAAAGTCCTAACTAGCAGATATACTGCCAGACCATCCTATTATCAGTTTGCCAAAATTCTCAGGAGGGATACAAACAAAGTTGGCATCAGTGGCCCCTTCCCCACTTTGCTCAGAAATTGTTAGGCTTCCTCTTCTAATTTGGTGTCTTTACTATTAGCGCCTCTTCTTCCTCCTTTCCTGATAAACTTGAGAATACGGAGGGTCCATGATACCCATTATATTCCCAAAGAAGAATTCAACATCAAATAGAATGGAACATCACCAGAGAAGGTGGGAAAGGTAAGTATGGTAGCTTTGAAAACTGCAACGCAATAATGCAGCAGATCAGAAATGAATGCCTGAGGTCCTGACAAAAGAACCTCAATAAACAATAAATATTGCTTCAGGAGCCTGCAGATACTATTACCATTATTACCAAACCTTAGCAATCAATATCAAGCTTAACCTTTACAAAGCTGTAAATCTCTTACCTCACTTTCATCTTCAGAACACACTGAGGTAGATAAAGTGAATATTATCATCCTTTCTTTCCAAATGAGTAATTTGAGACGGAGGAAAGTAAGTGAACTGGTTAATGCACCAGGTGTTTGTAGCTGTATTAATTCCTCATTACTAGCCCCATGTTCTTTCCATGGGACTCCACCAATATAAAGGCCACAGAGAAGAATATTAGGACCAAGCAGATGAACAGTTGCAAATAAAAACTATAACTCACCTTTGCCCTTTTTGGTATGCTTTTTTTGATTTAACATTTTTGTGTAGTAAAATGTTTAAGTCATTTACTGCATCAAAAAGGAAAAGACCAGGTAGTCTGCCTACTACCCAAAGAAGAAATACAGCTCACATGCTCTGCTTCTTTTTCAACTACCCTCGAACCTACTTCAGGGTACAAGCCCTCAAACACATGACGCTGATCCACATAAGTGGTTAAAGCTGAAACTTTGCACTATGAAGGCATACTGTGATCTGGAGATCAAGGTTTTTCTCGGGACTCCTCACAAAAGCCAGCCCACTCACTGTCAGAAATCAGAACAAGAAAAGTCAGGGCCCCTCCTGATCAGTACAACCAAACACAAAGCAGTTGAAACGTGAAGGGGGCGGGGTGGGGCCTGGGTGGCTCAGTTGGTTAAGCATCTGCCTTCAGCTCAGGTCATGATCCCAGGGTCCTGGGATCGAGCCCCCCACATCGGGCTCCCTGCTCCGCGGGAAGCCTGCTTCTCCCTCTCCCACTCCCCCTGCTTGTGTTCCCTCTCTCGCTGTGTCTCTCTCTGTCAAATAAATAAATAAAATCTTAAAAAAAAAAAAAAACGAAAGAAAGAAAGAAAGAAACACAAAGGGGTTCAACACCAAAACAAAAGCATGTACTCACAACAAATGCCATTCACTGTTTGTCTGCACAAAACACTCTCATTTTACTTGAATCCTCACAACATCCTGTGAAATTGTCCCCATCTTCAAGAGGTAGAGTCACCACTACTAAGGCCTCATCCCACATCCCCTCCCTCCTTCCCATCCCAGTAAGTGCAACACTCTTTCCAACACATCCTGACTGTCTGAAAAGAAAAGTGTATAGTCTTTCAAAAAGGGAATAGAGTTGTTTTTGTTTTGCGGGTTTTGTGGGTTTGTTTTTTTTTTTTTTTAGATTTAGACCACATACATAGGATACAAGGTAAGATTACACCTCAGCTATATTCTGAGGACCCAAAAGAGAATTCCCATTCAGTGCCTGTTCCTCCCTGGAACAGAAGCATCGAGCACTGGACAGTAGTGTTTCTCAAAGTGTTCTGACGACCCACAGTAATGAATGTAACTTATAGTAGAATCCAATACACATATATATTCTCTATGTAAAACCAAAGGGGTGCCTGGCTGGCTCAGTCAGTATAGCAAGCGATTCTTGATCTTAGGGTTATAAATTTGAGTCGCACACTGGGTGTACAGATTATTTAAAAATAAAATCTTTAGGGATGCCTGGGGGGCTCAGGAGTTAAACATCTGCCTTCAGCTCAGGTCACGATCCCAGGGATCAGTCCCGCATCAGGCTCCTTGCTCTGCAGGGAAGCTGCTTCTCCCTCTGCCTGCCGCTCCCCCTGCTCATGCCCTCTCTCTCTGACAAATAAATAAAATCTTTAAAAAAATTTAAACAAATAAAAATATTTTAAAATTATAAATATTAACCCTTTACCACATATACATATACTTTGTTTAAAAAATTCTTGTCATGACCCACTCAAAACCCACTAACGCGTAATGATCTGCAGTTTAAGAAACACGGCTGTACAGGACTCTCATTCTTCACTTACCCACATCTCTACTTAAAATGGCAAAGAACCAGGCTGGTGGCATGGCTTGCATAGCAATCAGAGCCATGTGGACAATCCCAACTCTGGCCTCCGTTATTAACAAAATACAAGCTAATGATGGAGGGATTATTAGCACACAGTTAGCCTGCCTACTCACATACTCAGATACCATGGGGGGAAATGGGGGTCCACAAGATGCCAGTTCCCACCAGTTGTTCTGCTGAAAGACAAAGAAGTGGCCACCTACAGAGACAGCCTGATGACTTAGAAGGGAGCTAAATATAACATCGGATGCCTATCTTGAGTGTCCTTGAAGTCTAGGTAAGAGGAAGGAATGCTTCTCTACAATTAAAACCCTTACAATTCCTTCTCATTGCAATACATGCCAACCCTTTCTCATAGTGATGCAATGAGCATTACACAGAATATGAGGCATATAGCAGTATTACACAAGTAAATATCCCCAGTGGCTCAAGCCAAAAGCCTTGGGAATCAGACTTGACTCCTCTTTTTCTCATACCCTGCATCTGATCCATCAAATCCTCTCGGTTCTACCTTCAAAAATATCCATATTCCAATCACTTTTTACCACCTCCACTGCTACCATCCTGGTCCAACACCATAATTTCTCACCTGGATTATTGCAGAAGCCTACTATTTGGTCTCCCTGCTTCTGTCCTATTCTCCAACGGCAGCCTCAGAGTATCTTTTAAAAATGTAAGCCAGATCATACTTACTGCTCCCTACTCAAAACCAGTAGTTTCTCATCTCAGAGTAAAAGCCAAAGTCTTTGCAATGGCCTTTAGGTCCTCCATGATCTGGTACCCTAGAATCTCACTTCCTGCTTCTCTTACCTTCACTCACTTACCCTGGGCACCCTGTTCTCCCTGCTATTCCTTCAGTATACCAATAGTCCTCTTCAGTATTCCTGAGCTTGCTCTTTCCTCTGCCTAGCCTCCTCCTCCTGGAGAGAAACACGTTCACTCCTTCACCTCAGTCAGGCCTTCCCTGGCTACTCTATCTATAGATAACTGCCATTCCTCACTCCTCTACAACCCCCACCCCCACACTCACTTACAGAGACTCCTTATCCTTCTTCCTGACTTATTTTTCTCCTTAGTATTTACCACCATAATCACTATATATCTTGCTTGTTTATTGGCTGTCTTCCCCATCTTGAAGATTTAAGAGCAAGTTTTTTGGCTTGGTTTGGTTTGGTGCACTGCTCCATCCTCAGGACCTACAACAGTGCCTAGCGCATAGCAGGCATTCAAAAACTATTTGAATGAATAAATGAGTAAATGAGTAACATACTGGTTAGGAGCTCCGGATGATCAAATTCTGGATCCGCTACTTACAAGCTGTACGAACTTCAACTAAAGTTACCAAATCTTCCCTAAGCTCCAGATTACTGTCTGTAAAATGGGGTTGAGACTCTCCACTCAACAAGACTGTTGAGAAAACTAAACGAGATTAACATGCGCGGAATTCAGCACCGTGCCTGGCAATCGGTTGACTCTCAATAAGCCTTACTGATGTTTTATTAAATGTTAACTGTATTAAATATTAAATGTTAACATTGTTACCAAATAAGATCTTGTATGTGAGCGCACGTAGTAGACGGAAAGTAAACGCTATGTAACCCTGAGGCAATGCCTTGCCTTTCAGAAATGGACCCCTATGGACTCATAGGGGTCATCCAGAACCGAGCCGGTTTAGAAAAGAAACTCAATTCCCAGCCCCTTCTCCTAGGAGCGGGTAAAGAACTATCTGGCTTGGGGTGCCTGGGTGGCTCAGTCGTTAAGCGTCTGCCTTCGGCTCAGGTCATGATCCCATGCTTCTGGGATCGGGCCCCCTGCTCCGCGGGAAGCCTGCTTCTCCCTCTCCCACTCCCCCTGCTTGTGTTCCCTCTCTCGCTGTGTCTCTCTCTGTCAAATAAATAAAATCTTTTAAAAAAAGAAAGAATTATCTGGCTTGCTGAAGTCTGGGAGGGTGTCCTCGCTCGGATCCCGCTCCCGGGTACCCCAGCCCTATCCTCGACAGCCCCGCCCCCTACCTTTCTCAGTCACCACGAAGCACTGCTTCACCGGCCCCACCTGACTGAACAGCTCCTCCAGCTGCTCACTGCGGGCCGAGGGCGGGAGGCGGCCCACAAATAGGGTGAGCCCGGCCATGAGGCTGGGAAACCGAGGCGCGCGAGACCGCGACGGAACCAGGCCCGCGCACGCGAGGCAAGGACCGGGCTTTGGCACGCCAACCACGCCAAGTGGCCCGGAGATTCCGGAAGTGCTCGTCACTCAAAAGAGTCCGGAGGAAAACATGGTGGGGAGGGGGGAAAAGCGTTCCGGAAAGGGGGAGGGGGGGGAGGTCATGCCTGGGGGCGGAGCTTCTTGAGCGGGGCTCCACCCCTAATCCCGGTACTGCCCCTCCGGTGCCCTCCGCCCCCCGGGCCACTGTAGGAAACTGGCATCTCTAGCTCCTACCCAGATTAAAATCTCACTTCCAGGAGATGATCCTAATGTGCCACCGCAGGCAGAGGAAGTCGTTTTTTGCTCGGGGTCTCACCCAGGATCTGACACGTACTGGATATTTAATGAATACTTTCTTCGGTGCCACCACACCCAGTTTACGTGTATAAAATGCAACCAGAATGCACATAGATGCATACATCACAAACATCATTTGAAGAATTCTCATATTTCAGAGAATATGAGACATCTGTCACACTCTAATAGATAACTATAACCGCGCCTGTAACAGAGGACAAATTACAGCTACTTTTAAAGCACACACAGACACGTATCATACACAATCATTCTTTCAATAAATATTTACTGAGCGCCTACTATGTACCAGACACTAGAGATAAAATTGGTGAGCTAAAACAAGAGTCCCTACTCTCATGGAGAATGAAGTGTAGTGGGGGTAGACAGACATTAACTTTAAAAACTTACAAATAAATCATAACATGCACACTACAGGACAACAGAACACACCCAAAGCAAACATAACATACACACAGACCCAGAATGCAGGTCCTCCCAGAGACAGGAGAAAACCTTCCCTCAGGTCAGCTTATCAGACAGACCCATGACTGAGGGATCTCACCCACCAGCAGGAGATGTGGGTGCTCCGGGAACCTGGAAAGCAGAGACTATTTGCCATTCCACTGGGTTCAGGAACTGACCTGTGTGCAAGACTGCAGCACCCTGCAGGGGTTCCAGCTGAGAAAAGTTCCCAATGCACTTTTTAAATAATAACTTCTCAATGGTATAACCTGAAAATTCAAGGAGTACAAAAGGTACAGTGAAAAGTAAGTTTCCGTTTCTCTTCAAACCCCATTTGCTTTCAATACATTTTGGACAGATGGGATGACTGGTTGATAGTAATGGGGGGGAAAGGGAGAACACTTAACATCAGATTTATGAAGCCCAGCTCCACGTAAATAATGTATGCTCAAAAGAAAATGCCAGTTATTTTTACACACATAACTCAGGAGAGGAAGTACTGAAATACAAAACAGATTTTTGAGGCTATGGCCTTAATCCTATCCAGGATAAACAGAGACAAGTAGACAAAGGAAATGGGATGGGTCATTTGAATAAAGTCGGTTTGGGATTCCACATTCCTCCCTCCTTTTTTCTCCTCCTCTCCTGCCCCCTCGCCACTTTAGAAATCAGAATTCTATCCCCAAAGACCTAACTGCAAGCTTCGGGGGCCCTAGCTATAGGGAGGGCTTCCCAGTGCTGGTTGCAGTGTACACAGGGAGAAGAACCCTAAGAAGGCTGTTCCAACAACCCTTTGGGATGTCCCTCCAGTGCTGTTTAAAATACTTCGCCCTCGAGCGCCTGGGTGGCTCAGTCGTTAAGCGTCTGTCTTCGGCTCAGGTCATGATCCCAGGGTTCTGGGATCGAGTCCCCCATCAGGCTCTCTGCTCCGCGGGAAGCCTGCTTCTCCCTCTCCCACTCCCCCTGCTTGTGTTCCTGCTCTCACTATGTCTCTCTCTGTCAAATAAATAAATAAAATCTTTAAAAAAAATAAATAAAAATGAAATACTTCGCCCTCAGACCTTCCTTAAAGGACAAAACAAAACTGTGTGCCTGTGCCCATCAGAGGGCAGCAGCCACCCACACTGCGGAGCAGTTCTGTGCCCCTAGGGGAGAACAATGCTGCTGACCCTTTCTACACTTCCGGAGTTTCAGACCTGCCCACCTCTCCCCCATCTCAGTCTCCCAGCCTCAACCTCAGCCCCGCCGGTCCTATCCATTCACATCAGGGAGACCACGTGGTGCTTCAGTCAGGAATATTTGCTCATCCATCTACCCAGGACACACGCAGCGTTCTTTATTAAATAGCAGGAGTTGTGGTGCCCCGCACCACATCAGCAACGTGGCTTCCAGGGGAAATAAACTGTTGGCTTCTCCCTCATCCATCACTGTGCAGGAGCCTGGGAAGGAAGAAAGAGAGGCCTGGGCTGTGCTCTCTCTCCCAGCCAGCCTCTCCCAGGTCCCATCCCTCTGGCTCCACTCCCCCTTGCAAGCCAAACCTTATTATACCACTCACTTCTTGTGCTGAGTCCTTCTCACAGCTGTAGTTAGTGCTATTGTAATTATTTATATGATTCATTTTGTTTTTTAAGATTTTATTTTTAAGTAATCTCTACACCCAACGTGGGTCTCCAACTTACAACCTCAAGATCAAGAGTTGCATGCTCTACGGACTGAGCCAGCCAGGTGCCCTATGTGATTAGTTCTTTAATGTCTGCGTTCCCCCCAAAGACCTTCAACTTCATAAGTTCAGGGCTGGTGTCCACCTCGTTCAACTCTCTCTCCTCATCACCTAGCATACTGTAAGCATTCATTAAAATGTTTTAAAGAGATTGAATGAAGGAAGGAAGGAATGAGTTTGTCTCTCAGTCCCTGCAGTACTAAGAACTGGGCCTGAAGGGTGTATGCATTAGGATCTACCTGGGCTCCTCTGGGAAACCTGCTTTGGGTAAGGGCCGAGGCATGGGACAAAAGGGAAAGGTTGTCTCACCAAAGTCTTGGCCTTTTTATAAAGTCAAAGGGCTGAGGTAATTCTTGCTAAGGAAAACCAAAGAAGTGGTGGAGCTGGTGAACACTGAGCTGTATTCCTCCTTCCCGTCCCCATCTCATCAGCCCCATTCACAGCTTCCAGACAGAAAAGGAGTTTGTGTATGTGTGTGCGTGTGTGAGGGACAGACAGACAGACAGACTGACAGACTGACTTGGGATATGCAGGGTTTGGACGGCTCTGTTGGAGCCTGTGTGCATGATGAACCTTGGTGGGGAGAGTGAAAGAGCCGACTGGCAAGCATTAGGGCGGGGAAGAGGTGGCCAAGAGAAGTTGGGCGTGAGCAGAGGCAGATGGAAGGCTTGGTGGGGAAGAAAAAGAGCCATTTTTCCGAGCAGCCAGCAAGCACCCCTTCCATGATACAAAGCAGCTCCAATACTGGGTCCGCTACAACCGCCACAACACCAGTGAGAAATGCCTATAATTAGGAGGCTGGCAGTTCCCTGGGCCTCAGCCCAGAGTGACGATGCAGCAAGAATTTCTGAGCCAAGTGGAGCCAGGTGATGGAGGAGACAGAGTCAAAAACCACTCTAGTTCCATTCCTCAGTGGTGCCTGTCTCATTGAGTTCCCTACTATGACCCTCACTCGCCCCAAACATCACTGACTCTTCCTCCTTCTGAGGTCCAAGACCCTGGGCACTCCTCTCAGGCAAGACAGATCTTCCCGTGCAAGGAGAGCAGTGCTTTAATTCTTCCACTCGTGCATGGACCTGGTCTGGTGAGGACCCACCCCTCCTGGCCTCCCTGCCTGCTTTCCTCTTGACTCCCTAGCCTCCTCCCTTCTCCAATCCCCATGAGTTGATGGCCGACTTGGAAGAAAAGCCACTCCTATTTTCCTGTTTTTCCACTTCAAGCCTGGTATGTTGTGCCCCTGTCAGTTTCCCTGTGATGTAAAAGACATCTGCCAAAGCACTGCCAGATTTTGATTTTCAAACCTAATCCATGACGCTGTTTTAGTGCCACTCTGAACTTACTGCATTTTAGCCAAATGACAAATGCACACCCCAGAGCTCAGAGCCAAATGCTCCGGACAAGGGAGAGGTTCCAGGGTGCCTGGTGGCCTGGGTCTCTGCACTGTGAGTTTTGCTTTGGTGGGTAGGATGGGGCCAGGGTTTGGGGGGAAGATAGGCTTTCTCCAGGGAGGGTCTGCACCTGTGGGAGATGAGCGCAGGGAAAGAGGGGTTGTAAGGCCAACCTTGAAGAGGCCCTGTTGATAGGTGGAGCAGTTGTATCCTCTGTGAATGCCTCTGGGAACACGGCAGGGAGTTTGCTGGGGATCCCAGCTCCAAGCGATCAAGCCCTTGACATGTGTATCAACATTTCCACGAAGGTCTTTACCACAGACTGGTCCCTAGCCAGCTGTCCACCACAGCCTGTGGCCGGGCTCCTAAGAATGCAGACGTTTCCACCAATGACTGCAGAGGTCCTGCCTCACTTCTCACTGCCAGTTTCATCTCTGACAAGGCACTTCCCAGAGAGTCAAAGGGTTTTCACGGGGTCACTCCCAGGGCCCTCACTCATCCCAGCCGTAGGACAAGGCTTCTTGCATGAAGGTGTGAAGGTCACCGGGGTGTGGGATGAAAGCCACCCCACCCAAACACTGCTTGTCTTCCAGTTCTGATGGAACCGCTGTTACTGTTGACTCATCTAAACTTTTCCAAGAAGGTCAGACCTTTCTCTGAAAATATTTTATTGATAAATTAACTCTGAAAGCGCTGACTTCCCACCCAACTGCTGTGGAGTCTCCTCAATGGGCCATGGACCCTTCTCTGGGTAAGGATCGTGTGGAGGACAGGGAGTCTCACTCACACAGGAATGGGATTCCTGGGCATGGCACAGGTGGGTGTGGGGACTGAAGCCAGTCTCCAGGTCCTCTGAGGACAGCCCCTCTCACTCAGCACCAGAGTAGGGAGTGGTGGTCGGGAGTGGAGCACCTTGGAGCTTTATTGCTGGTGAATGCCAAGGAAAGCAGGACCCCTGCCAGCCTAGAATTGCAGCTGAGGGAATCCGCGCCCAGGGCTCCAGAGGAGGTGGCACTAACCCCAATCAACAGAGCCTGGCTGCTGACCCACCCACCCAGGGACTCCTGGGTGGGGAAGGAAGCTGGGAGAGGTATCTGAGCCAGGCAGGACTGGGGAAGGGTTACAGTGTGCAGGTCTCGGGCAGAGCAGGCGCCAGGAGGGGGCATAGGCTGGGGCAGCCAGGGTGCCGCCTCTTCACAGGTCTATAGTGTCGCTCCCCACACTCAGCTCGTCGATCTGTCGACAGGCGTCCAGGAATTGCTCCTGCAGCAAAGCCTCCGCGGCCTGCAGCTCAGGAGTAGGCTCTGGGGAGTCGCGGGAGGGTGGGGACAGGGCCTGGTAGGAGCCTGAGCCCGGGAGGCTAGGGCTGCATCCTGAGGGCCGCGGGGGACTGAGGACGCAGACCAGCGGACAGCGTGGGGGCCTGTCAGGGCTGGAGCATAGCAGCATGGACGAGCTGTCCCGCGAAAGTCCGCACAGCGAACCGGAAGAGGCACTGCTGCCCGCCGGCCAGGCCCCGGGAGAGGGGAGCTCCTGGGGCACAGGGGAGCCAGGGGCCTTCTCAGACCTCCCATTGGGCCCAGCCCCCGTCCTCGCCACCAAGGAGGTGGTGCGGTAGAGGCCAAGCCCAGGCAGGGCTTCCCCGAAGGCGGGGCCCTGGAAGAGGCCGGGCGTGAGCAGGGCCTCGCTGCAGAGGGCCTCCTCAATGCTGCGCCGCAGGTTGATTGGGGAGGGCGGGCGGAAGTCCACGGTGTAATCGCTGCAGGGAGAGGAGGCCGGAGAAGGGGCCGGGTTGGCCGCCGCGCCTTCGAAGCCCCGGCAGCCGCCTCCCTGGAGTAGGAGGTCGGGGCCTGGCCCTGCCAGGGCGCACAGCTGCAGCAGCTCCGCGTCGCCACGCGCGATGGCGCCACCCAGGGGCTCCTTGTCTGGGGGCCCGGTGACCCAGCCCCCGGGCAGCAGTGGGGCCGCGTGGCCCGGGGACAAGCGGAAGAGCTTGGCCCAGCAGCGCGGCGGCACACGGGGGCTGCTGAGCGCGGGGTAGAGGCCCAGCAGCGCCAACGGGAGCGCGACGCCCACCTCGCCCAAGCGCAGGCCTAGCTGGAAGGCCCACCAGGGCCAGGGTCCCTCCAGGCCAGGCTGGCCGCCATAGCCCAAGGCGTGCAGCACCTCGTAGCCCTGCAGGGCTCCGCTCAGCAGCCCGAAGGTGCCCGCCACCGGGGCTGTGCGGGCCGCGCGCCGCCAAGACTCGCGCGGGGCGAAGGGGCTGCGCGCCTGCGGGAGAGGGGTGGCGCCCTTGAAACCAGACCCTCCCAGGGGCGCTCCGGGCCGCCGCCGCCGCCCCCCCCAGCAGGAGAGCGCCAGCAGGAGCCCGGAAAGGAGGGCGGCGAGGAAGGCGTGCAGCCCGCGGGAGGCGAGCCGCAGGGGCCGCAGTGAGCGGTGGGCGGCGCTCCCGACGGCAGCCGCGGCCGCCAGCCCCAGCCCCAGCAGCAGCAGCGCGGCCAGCCCGGCGGGACACCGCGGCGGGCGCGGCCGGGCCAGCAGCAGGCAGGCCAGGCCCAGGCCGGCGGCCAGGCAGGGCAGCGGCAGGTCCTGCAGCAGCAGCCAGGCGAGCGGGGGCAGCCGATCGCGGTGCCCATAGGCGTCGTAGAAGAGCGGGAAGGCCCGCGTGGTCCCGGCGGACAGCAGGAGCAGGTCCAGCAGCGCCAGGCAGGGGGCGCCGGGCGGGCAGCGCCAGGGCAAGAGGGCTAGGGCCAGCAGCGCCAGCAGGGCCACCAGGCCAAAGAGCGTGCCTACCCCGTATACGTGGGCCTCCCAGGCCAGCCCCCAGCGAGCTCTGGCCTCTGCCCAGTTGGCTTCCAGGGTCAGGAAGAAGAGGGGCAATGGAGCCACAGGAGGCTGCCCTTCGGGTTCGGGCAATTCTCCCATACTGCAGGACCCTGACCCACACTCTGGCTCCACCGAAGGCTTCCCAAGGCTGGCAGGAGAGGAGTCATCTGGGCCGGAGGTGGGGGTAGTAGGGTCTGTGGGCAAAGAACATTTGTCTGAGGCAACTCACCGGGTCTCTCAGCCCCTTGCCTTCCCCTCCCCATCAAACTCAACAGTAGTTTCAGCTCTAATCCTTCTCCGCATCCCTAACCACCCCCCCTTAGCTCTCCGCGACTTGTTCATTTCCCTTCATCACTCTGCGATTCTACTGAAAAGGGTTTTCCTTTTTATATATATTTTATTTGTTTGTTTGTTTGTTTTGAGAGCCAGCACAAGCTGGGGGAGGGGTAGAGGAAGAAGGAGGAGCAGAATCCCTGCTGAGCAGGGGGCCCGATGCGGGACTCATCCCAGGACCCTGTGACCATGACCTGAGCTGAAGGCAGACGCTTAACCTACTGAGACACCCAGTGCCCTGAAAAGAGTTTTTCTTAAGAAGCCACAGAATTTTACAACTGGAAGGAACTGGAGAAGGCCCCTCTAGGTCAATCCTCCCACCAGAAAGAAAGCTTCATAAGAACAAAGATTTTTGTTGGCTCTGCTCACAGCTGAATCTCCATGCCCAAAATGGTGCCTGGCTCAGAGTTGGCACTGAGCAGATATTTGTTGAATAAGTGAATCTTCTTATTTGTCCAATGAAGACACCCAGGCTCTACAGAGTGGCAAAGTGACTTGTCCAAGGTCACAAACTGGCAGAGCTGCCACTAGGATCCAGATCTGAGCACTGGTCTGAGCCCCTTCTCACAATTCCAGAGGTTTTTCATAATACTAGTTTGCTTGTCTCTTATTCTGCACCCCTGACTCCCAACTCCCACCTTGGTGCTAGGAGAAGTTTCCTCTGCCCTTTTTCATCTGTTTCCCCCTTCCCCCATCTCTTCAGGTAAAGCCCCTGCACACACATATGCATATATGCGGGGGGGGGGGGGGGGAGAGGTAAGACACTCCGGTTCCCAGCATCTGAGGAGAATACAATCTTTCCTATTCCCTGGCCTTCCTGTCTGCCACACCCCCAACCCTTAGCTTACCCATAGCCTTGGTCCCCATCCTGACTCAGTCACAAAGCATTCGTCTAAGGCTCTTAATGTACATGCCCTTTGAGTTCTCATTCCCTTTATAGAAGGTGACGTTGAAATGGACTCCCCTGGGTCTCGACGCTACCCTTGAACCCCCAGGAAGGAACCACGGGGGAGAGCAAAGTGGGATAAATGCCATCGTAGTGAGTGAGCCCCTCAGGTGCTCTAGGATTTGCTAACTTAGGCCCCCGGCCCCATTCCGTGCTCCAATAACTTCCCCACATCCCTTGGGGTGGCACCTGGGGTGGGTTCAGTCGGTCAGTTGGGTGTCTGACTCTTGGTTTCGGCTTGGGTCATGCCCTTGGAGTCATGGGATTGAGCTCTGCACTCCGCAGAGAGTCTGCTGAGATTCTCTCTCCCTCTGCCTCTCCCCTGAGCAGGCTTGCTCCCTCTCTCTCTCAAATAAATAAATACATCTTTAAGCGGGGGGGGGGGGGGGGGGGGGGGGTCAAATGAAAGAGGATGAGGAGTAAGATCCCTAATTTGCTTTCCTGGAGCAAGAGAAGAGGGAAGTTAGAAGTTAGAAAGTTAGAAGTTAGAAAGAGATCCAAGGATTCTTCCCATGGCCAGGCAGCAAAGGAAGATGCTTCAGGCTGAACCTCTCCCTACTCCACCTAGCAAGCTCCGCAGAACTGCAGCTGCAAACAAGTATGGAGGGAGAAAGATGGTGGTGAAGGATGGAGACACCCTGGTGAGGATGGGGAGGTGCACAGGAGGCAGATGTAGAAAGAATGAGGAAGGGTCTCCTGACAGCCAGACTCCTGCCCCAACTGCCTGGCCATGCTCCCGCCTGGTCTCCGCTGTACATTACAGGAAGACCCCAGGGGCACCCCCACCCCCAGGGCCATGCCAGTTCCTGCTGGGAACAGGCAAAACAGCAATCCTCAGAACAAGAAAAAGGAGTGGGGGTGGGGGGCAGAAAGCAGCTCTGGAGAGAGACGAGGGGAAGACAGAATCAGACAACTGGGGACGGCAGAGAGGGAAGCAGCCAAAAAATTAAGTATACACAGCTCTCCACCTACGGCAAATGGCAACATGTGCCCTGGCTCCCGTTCCACCTTGTTCCTCAAGTCTGAACCAGGAAGAGTACCTACTGCAAAAGGCTGGTTTGAGGATAAATGGACGATGTGTTCAAAGCTCTTCAGAGTACCTGGTGCATAATAAGCATTCAAAATATGATTGTTGTTGGTATCATCATTATCAGCTAATGTTTTATCACCGATCAGTCATCAGTTTGTGTTCATGCGAATGTAACTATTTCTGGCCTCAAACTAGTTCTTGATTTAACCAACAAAAGACTGTTGTCTCTCGGGGCACCTGGGTGGCTCAGGCTCAGGTCATGATCCTGGGGTTCTGGGATGGAGCCCCGCGTTGGGCTCTCTGCTCAGCCGGGAGCCTGCTTCTCCCTCGGCCTGCCACTCCCCCTGCTTGTGCTTGCTCTCTCCCCTCGCCCCCATCAGATAAATAAATGAAATCTTTAAAAAAAAAAATAGAAAATAAACAAAATCTTAGAAAAAAGACTGTTGTCTCTCAGCACATCCTAAACTTGCTTAGAAAGGCAACACATTGTTTCACTTTGTGAACTCTATTTAAAGAACACCATTTGGGGAGCCTGGGTGGCTCAGATGGTTGAGCGTCTGCCTTCGGCTCAGGTCATGATCCCAGGGTCCTGGGATCGAGTCCCGCATCGGGCTCCCTGCTCCTTGGGAGCCTGCTTCTCCCTCTGCCTCTCTCTCTCTCTCTCTCTCTCTGTCTCTCATGAATAAATAAATAAAATCTTTAAAAAAAAATAAAGAACACCATTTGGCTGGACTGACCACCCCTGAACACCTAATAAAGACACAGCCATGAGTTAAATGAGGTTCATTCAGCTGGGATGGCTTGTTGATGGGGGTGGGTATCAGTCTGACGTTAGCAGCATCAAATACTTGTACCCACCCCCTCTATCAACCTCATTCCTTTGTCCCCACAGATGCTCTTGCCCAACCCACTTCAGCAAAGTGGATGAGTTTGCTTGGCTTTTCCTCAGCTTGGGCGGGCTCTGCAGAAAGGCAATGGGACCGAGCCCAGGAGCGCCACGGCCTGAGCCAGACTGCCACCCCTCATGGCCTCCTCTTTGTTCACTGAGCAGACAAGCACAGCTCAGAGGTCTGCTCTACCTCGCCTTCTTCCAGCTCCACTTCTTACCCAAGGGGCACAAGAAACCCCATCTCTCACTTCTGTCCCCAAACACTATGGCAACCAGAGCAAATTTTTAACATTACTAAGAAGCCAGGAAAAAAAATTAAAACCAGAACATAGACAAAGTACAGGCCCAGCTCAGGTCTCAGAGGAGGTAGTTCTGAAGTAGGAGCATTGCTTTCTGGGGGCAGGTGGGCATGCCCTGTGTACCCAGGGCTGGGCCATGCTGTGGGTGCAGATAGGCAGAGAAGACCCAGCTTCTGCCTTGGAAGAATCCACTTGACCTCATCCCCTGTCTCCCCACTGGAGGCTTCCCCAGAAGGAGCCCTCAGTATCTCCCAGAAGATAGTAAGTTCCTCTCCTGAGCAGCCCTCTCTTAAAAGGTGGTCCCACTCTGGCCCTGTGGCCCCTCTTGACCTCAGGGGCAAGAAAGGAGATTGGATGCCAATGTGAGTAATTGGTGAGGTCACAGCTGGCTGGGGAGGAGTCAGGGAGCTGGGCCTGCTAGATTTATGGAAAAGTCAGGCCTGATTATCTACCAGCTGCCCAGATCAAAGGGCTGGGAAATCACTCTCCCAGTAGAAGTTGTAGCCCATTCAGCTGCCTGGCTCCATTCCTCTCCCCCACCCCCACCTCTAGGATCATGGAAGATTGATCCTCTTTGTAAGGGTAACTGACATTCGAAATATTTAACAACTGTAAATGGCACAGATGGCAGCCAATCAGAACGGACGTCAGCCAGGGTGGTCAGGGAGTGGAGGGGAGGGCTCGGGGGCTAAGGCCAGTGGGTACTTATCAACAGGGTTGAAAGTCTTTCAATATGTTAATGACCTGCACAACTTCTCCCCATGTGTACTGGCTGAATCCTAGCTCTGCCCAGGGTGAAGGGAGTCTAATGCAAGAGAAGAGAAGCCCTAGAATCAAAGCTTAACCACACCTAGGTTAGAAAGATCCTAGAGGAGACACACAGAGACTCCCTTTGTCCCCTAACCTCCAGACAGTACTCCCTACACATGCTGCTGGCTGGAGCAAGGTCCCTGACCTTCTGGCCAAGAGGCCTCCAGCCCTCCTGGGTCTATCTGAGAGAAAGAGCCAGGAAGAGGCTGAGTTCCTGCAGCCATAAGTGAGGACGGGGGAGGGGGTGGGGCAGCGAGCTGGGCTTCCTCTGACACTGTCCAGACTCATTAAACCTGCCTGGCCAGCACTGTCACCAAGGCTGACAGACTGCCAGCCAGCATCCTTCCCTGGGGGCCACAGAGCCTGCCTCCCACCCCACAGCAGATCCTGCCACTGCTACACACTGGGCTGAATGGGGAGGGGTCAGCTGCCTCCCCAGGAGAGCGGCAACTGCTCGGGAGTGAGCTAGAGTCAAGTTCTGTGTTAAGTCTGGAACTGGAAGAAGCTGGGGGACCACTGCTGAGCTGGTTCCTACCTTGAAGTGGCCAAGACGATTTGCAGCAATAGTATAAAGGCTTTGCAGAACAAAGCCGGGCCTAGAGGTCCCTCTCCATGGCTCCCTGGGCCTCACCTACCAGAGCCTCTCCCTGAGTGTGCACTCCGCCCTGTGGGTTGTGTTGCCCATCACATCTTGAGGCCAACGGTGCGTGGTGTTAGGTAGGGTCTGGAAGTGAACTTGGGACGCAGTAGGGAAAGAACCAAGGCTAACAGCTACTCTTTAATAAACTTCTACTTCATGCATTATCTGGAAGCTTCAGAATAACAAGAGAGATATTATTATTAAACCCTAGATATATGAGAAAATTCAGGCTCAGGGAGGTTAAATAACTTGCCCAAGTTCACCCAGTCAGTTAGTAAGTGAACTGGGATTCCACACCAAGCCTCAAGATTCCAGAGGCCCTGCTCTTTCCTCTGCACCACCAGCTTATCCATGTGTATATTCTGAAAGGCTTCCTTGAATAAGGGTGGCATCTGTCTGCTCAAAGTCTTCTCTTCAATGTCTTTCCAATGAGGGGCCCAGCTCTGCTCATAACTGACAACATGTCATATCAGATCAGACGGCAAAGGAGAGAGCCCCAAGGTTGGGGTGTGGGGTGGAGAGGCAAGCCGGGCAGACTGGCGTGAAGGGTGGAGTTGGTACCGAGGCTGTGGGAACCATGAAGGAGTTCCTGTATCCGTCTGCCTCTGATACATCTGTCTGGGATTACAGAACTCCCGGAGGACCATTACTTAACTCTGTGTGGGACTGCCCCCAGCAACACTTGTTCTCAGACCGTTAATATATATCTCCATGGTGATGATGAAGAGAATGGTGATTATGATTATGATGACAATGAAATAAAAGAGTCCCAGAATGCAGATGAGTGGCTAGCATGTAGTAAGTGCTAAATAAATGTCATGTTCAAGTGAATTGGACACTTACCTACTGATGCTGTTGCCATCGTGGCAGAGTTTAGGGAAGTGGCTGGGTCCAACGGGCCTGAGCTTGGGAGCTTTCTTTCCAGGGGGGATGGGGGCGGGGACAGAGTGGTGCCAAAGAACCCTGGAAAGGGAGCACATGGGGTTCAAGGGCCATCCTACCAGCCAGCCTTGGCCTCTGGGGCTTTGGAGAAAATCCCGTCCTTCCCTCAGAGCTTATGCTAAGGGAGCCAGTGTACCCCGACCAGAAATCGTAACCACACGTATGCTGGGAGCTAAGCTACCAGGACCAAACTAGACTCGGATGGCTAAGAGGGCATTTCCCCATGGGAGCAGTGTCCCGTGTCCCATGCCCTGGGAGAAGCAACACAGAGTCAAAAGAGAAAGGGGGGTGCTGATTAGGCCCACAGCACAGTGCTAGGCACGTAGAAGTGTTCCCTAAGTGTCTGTTGCAGTGAAATCAACACTCACCTGGAGAATCTGAAACTCTAGAGGCAGAGCTTGGGGATGGAGTTGGGCCTAGAGGGCTTGGGCCTGAGAAGTTCCGCAGCGGGGACAGAGTAGTGCCGAAGAAGCCTGCAAAAGAAGCCCAGGCTGAAGCTTCCTCCCACCTGCCAGGCTGCCCAAGCAGGGGCTCTCCTCCAGATGAGGTGGGTACTCACCAAAGGGTCCCAGGCGCCCCGCAATCTCTGCCAGACTGGCCCGCAGACTGGGCAGCAGGGGCAGCGTTCGATGCTCAAGCGTGGGGGCCGCGCCTGCTCTCAGTGCCATGTCAAACTTCAGCTCCAGCTCACTCTGGCGGAGCCTGGGCGCACTGGACGGAGGTGCCGTGGCTGTCAGAGCAGTGTCCCAGGTCACAGTGCCCGTCCTGGGCTGATAGGGAGCAGTGGGCCAGTCAGTGGGCCCAGAGAGTGGGGATGTGGACTCTGGAGACAGGGAGGAGGCCGAGGGAGTAGAGCTGCCTTCAGCAGAGCCCCACTCTGGCGGGGAGGTCCCAAGGGAGCCCACCAGCAGTTCCCAAAGGGGATCAGTCCTCAGCCCACTGGCCACCTCTTCCTCGGGCTCCTGGCTCGGCCCAGGAGAGAGTGGCTGTGTCTCCGTGACAGAGATCCCCCAGGCGGCAGCCGGTCCCCGAAGGTGGAATTTGAAGTTCAGTCCCAGGTTGAGAGACAGCATAGAGGCCTCACTCTGAGGTGGTGGGGTCAAAGTGGTGAGAGGGACACCTGTGACGGAGGAGGCAGGCTGGGGGCCCACTGGTGCAGCAAGCAGGACCCAGCAGAACAGCCCCAGGCCCAGGCAGCCATGCCCTGCCATGGCCCCACCTGGCCTCCGGTGGCCTCAGTGGGCAGGAGGCTCAGTTCTTCAGCACCTTTTGAGCTTGAAGGTCCTGGAGAAAGGAGAGGTGCTATGAGCCCTGGCTGCCTGGGATCGGATGCCCCCTGAGAGAGGCTGCTGATCACCGAGAAGCAGGTGGTGGGGGCAGGATGCAAAGGGCTCTGCCCGGGAAGAGTTGCTAGCTCCTTCCTCCATTCAGGCTCCAGAACAGATCTCTCTCCTGCGGTTCCACCTTCTCTCCCAGCTAAAGCCCCTCTCCCTAAACCCCTGCCTCCCCTACCTGCTCAATCTGGGGACCGGGGTCTGAAGGCAACCAGCTGCCCCCATCCTCTCCGGATGGCTGAGGGGGTGGACTTGGATTCCCAGACTCAGATCTCTTCCCTCTCTCTTCTCTCTCTCCTCACCGTCCACTCTCAGATATTTATTGAGGCCTACTATGTGCCAAGCACCCTTCTGCTGACACAACTGTGAGCAAGCAAACCCTCACAGAGGAGTCTCAACCCGCTCCCACCCCCACCTCGGGCTCCAACCTAAGGTGTTGGCACTCTCTCTCACTCAGACCCCAGGGAACACAAGGCCCTGGGAGGGGCAAAGCACAGGGCTGAGCTCTCTGGCCGAGGAGAAGGCAGCAAGGCTCCGGCCAGAGAAGCAGGGTGCCCTGGTCTGGCAGAAGCTGTCCCTTCAGCCTTTCCCCTCTTTCCTGGGGCTTGGCCCTGCTCCCTTCCCCTTAACCCTAGAAGTATTTGGGGGAGGGGCAGCTTGGCCATCTCGGCCTTCCTGGGGAAGGTGGCCAGGCAGGCAGGCCGGGCAAGGGGCTGCTGCGGTGGGGTCCTACCTCCGGCCCCCCCCCCCAACATCCACTCCATGCATACACATCTGGGGGGGGAAGGGGAGGGTAAGCCAGGGACACACGTGCACCTGGCACCCTTACATCACACACACAGCCACACCTAGCACCCGTGACACACTCACCCACTCACCCTTCACACACCCTGCACACACACGTGTACACACACACACACACACACACACACGATTCTGCCGAGCCCCACCTCTTACACGGGTTCAGACCCAAGCTCTGTGAGCTCCCAGCCTCCTCTCTCTCTCTCTCTCTCTCTCACACATACACACGCACGCACGCCCCTCACAGACACGCACAGTATATACAGTCACACAGAGAGGCACACACACCCCTACACCACATTCACACACTCCGTACAGACACATCACACACCTTCGTCCCCCTACACACCCACCCACCCCTCGAAGGCTCGCTCGCTCTCTCGCTCTCGCTCTCCCTCTCCCCCTGCCCGGACCCGCCGACCTGCTCCTCCGGCTCCCTCCCGCAGGCGGGTCTCCTCTGCCAAGTCCCCCGAGAACCGGAGGTCGCGGCGGCCCAGGCGCCCAGCTGGACAACGCTCAGCCGAGGCTCGCCGGTTCTCTCGGTCGCGCCCGACGCCCCGTCGGCACGTCCCGGCGCCCGCGGCTACGCCGCCACGCCGCCCCCCGCCTGGCCCGCAGCGCTGTCCCCCCGCGGCTGGCCCGGTCCGGCTCGCCACCCCGCACTCCCTCCCCGCTGCGCCGCCTCCTGGCTGTGAGCCTCGCTCCCCGCCAGAGCCGCCCGCGCCGGGCTCCGCGGCAGCCGCGCTCTGACCGCCCGCCCTCCCTCCCCGCCTGCCTCCCTCGCGCCCGCCCCTCCCTCCCTCTCCCCTGCCCCTCCCCCCCCGCGGCCCGCCCCCCACCCGGGCAGGCAGGCGGGCGCGCACCGCAGCGCCCCGCGCCGCCGCTTCTGTGCCCGTCGCCCCGACGCGCGCTCATTCACCCCGCGCTGCCAATCGGCCGCGGGTGCGGGCGCCTCGCTAGCAGCCCGGCGCCGGCAGCCGCGCACTCCCCTGGCGGCCGGTCACACACACCCACACGCCCTCCTTCCCGGGTAAACACAGCCGTGGGCCGGAGCCCCGCGCGCGCACACGCCTGCACACGCGCGCGCGCGCGGCCACGGCAGCTTGCCCCGGGACGGCACCCCAGGCAAGAAGAACCACGGTGAGTGGAAGTGGAATATCTCATTAGTCCTCACCGCAAACCTCTGGGTGTCCCCATTTCACAGGTAGGTAAAGTAAGGCTCAGAAAAGTCCCGAATTTGCCCAAGATTACACGGCTTGGCAGGAACTTGTACCCAGTCTATCTGCTAACCTCTCCAGAACCTGGTGGCTTTCAACAGCTGTAGGCTACACGGGAGTGCCTGCAACACTTCACAGGTGAACTGCAGAATGCCCATCAGTGTGTAACTTTTATTTATTTATTTTATTTATTTATTTATTTATTTATTTATTTTTGGCTAAAACTGATCTCTCAAAAATACTCAGAGTTTCAGAAATGTCTTCCAGGAAGAATGAATGGTGAGCCTAAGCTGCATGTGAGAGGAGGATTATTACCTGTTTCCAGTAACAGAGGAGAGAACAGTGGAATCAAAGAGTGTGCAGCTTCAGGAGTATAAGAGAGACCAGGCCAAGTCTAACCCAGGGTTAAAGATGACAAAGGAACAGGGTGGTCACTGTGGATACTTTGTGGACCCTGTTAGGCTGTCCCAGTGACTGACTTAAGTAGTCCAGCTCGTTTGTGTTATCTTGAGTCTCTAAATCCCTTCAAGTGTTCCTCCAAAAATGCTAGTATTTAAAAGTATCAGGAGAACATAAAACAGGAGGCTCCCTGCACCACATAAAGCTGTCCCTCAAAATCCAGACATCCTGCTGTATGCCAAGCTTCGCGCTAGATGCTTTAGGAATATCCTCACTTAGTCCTCATCACAAGCCACAGAGAGGAAAATTATTGTCACTATGTTATGGCCTTGGATGTGCCTCTGACCCCCATTCCATCTCCCCCTCTTGCTGCGCTGTAAGGTTGGGGGTGGGTGCTGTTGAAAGAGTTACTGAGGGCAGGTTGTCTCCGTCACAGAGAGCTCACAAAGGGAGCTCACAGAGACGTAGAAAGCTCACATAGAGAGATGCCCTGGGTAGGTGCTCAGTGAATATCAGATAAGTGAATAACAACAACAACAAAAAAGATTAATTCTGGGCTCCATATGGGCAATGGGATGTGTTTCAGAAAGGCATCTAGGACTCACCTTTTTTTTTTTTTTATCACAGAATTCCTTCAACTGATGTAAGATAAAATCAGGGAACCACCTGAACCTCTCTCCAGGGAATGTCAACGATGAACTCTGGTATTTATTCTGGGTCCCTAAACAAAACGTTGCAAAGGGCATTCCCTGGATGCACCCTCTGGGATCACTGTAAGATACTTCTTCTAGTAGGGAACTCCCCCAGATCCTTTAGGGGCTGCCTGAAGGCTGCATACTGGGATCCAGCCTCTGGTTTTCTCTCATATACTTAATAAAGGTTATCCTGCTAGAGACATTTCCCTTGAATCCTCCTCACAGAAAGGCTCATTTCCTGCTAATCGTGTTCACTTAAAGACTTCTAAATGGAAAGACAGAAATAAACATACCCCACTACATTAAAACAGCAATCTTCCATGACCAAGTAGAGTTTTTCCCAGGAATTATATTTTTAAAAATATATTGAAAAGGGAAGTTAGGGTTCTGGGTTAAGATGGTGATTAAATGCATATATCTAATTTCACTCCCTCCCAAAACCCCACTAAAACTTCAGTAAAGAGATTTTTAAATCAAGAGATAAACCCTCAAGGATGGAGAGAACAGGAAAACAGACAACAGCCACAGAATTTTTGAAGCAGGATGGCAGACAGCCATGCGGTTACTGACTTATCAGCCCCGAGGAAAAAGACATCTCAGCTGGCAGTGGGGAAAGTGGAGAGCCAATTTGATTTACATTGCAATGTTCTCAGAAGACACAGGAACTGGAAAGCCAAGGTCCCTCTGGAACTGTGGAAGAGGTTGCTAAAATAAAGGCCAGGATGAAAAGCAGTTAGATCCCTAGATTTCTTCCCTAACTCCAAGCCAATGGGCTACAAGTCCCTCGCCCATCCCAGCCAGAGTCTGGAAGATTTTCCCCTGAGGAAGGTAAGATAGAGGGTATCTGGATTGGAGAAGCTCCAAACGCAGTTGTGAACAGAGATACCATACTGAAAATACTGGAAACAGGGGGATTAAGTGACCATGTCACATGGGACGCTGAATGCAGAGGCCCCTAGCCTTCTCTTACTATTGGGCTCCCAAAGAGCTGGGAGTAGGACCTTTGCCCTTTAGGCAGGAAACTGGAAGACTCTACTCTGGGGTATTTCACTAGCCCAAGAAGAAAGACCTAAAGATACTGACATACAGGTTTCCCTCAAAACAACCCAGCTAGATCACCCTACAGTGGTGAATCCAACCTGTGAGTTGACTCGGGGTTTTTGACTAGCCATCTCAGCCTCCACAACCTTAATCATGGCCAGAAGTTACCAGACATCCAGGAAATTTTCTTTTCTTTCTTTTTTTTTTTTTTAAGATTTTATTTGCTTATTTGTCAGAGAGAGAGAAAGAGAGCACAAGCAGGCAGAGGGGCAGAGGGAGAGGAAGAAACAGACTCCCCGCTGAGCAAGGAGCCTGACTCAGGACTCTGGGATCATGACCTGAGCTAAAGGCAGATGCTTAACTGACTGAGCCACCCAGGTGTCCCCATCCAGGAAATTTTCCAACGCAAAGAGAGACAAAACAAGCATCATGGAAAGTAACTTGCTGGAAACAGGTTATACAGAGAAAGCAGGAAGTATCAAAAAGCCCATTGTTAATATTAGAGAGAGAAGATGAGCTAGTGCATCCATGAAACAAGAACAAGATGCTATACAAAGGAACAACCAGAACATAGCAACAGCGAGAATGATGTCTTGACAAATAAAATCATGACAGCAGAAACAAAACATCAGTAGAAAGATGGGAAGGTTAAGCTGATTAAGCCCCCCTAGGAAGTAAAGCAAGCGTACCAAGAAAATATAGAAGACAAAAGATAAAAAAAAGT